GAGCGGGGTGGGGGGCCGCGGGGCGGCTTCCTGTGGGGGTGCGCCCTGGGCCGCCTCCTGCCTGCGCGGACGCCTCCCTCGCCCACCCCTGTCATTCGTCACTCCCTCCGGTTTCGTGTCCGTATTCTGGGCGCTGAGGCAGCGGCGGGACACGGAGCGGGACCGGCGGGGGGTAGGCGGCCGTGCTCCGACCGGCGCTCCCGCGCGCAGGCGCTCTTTGACCTTGCGCCCTCAGCGCGCGTCGGCGGCTCTCCCGCCGGGCCGCCGCGGAACAGAAAACAGGACAGCGTGATGGGTTTTGTATAAACGCGGCTGCCGGAAAGAACTGAGCACTGAGAAGAGACGGTTCTTGTAGCGGAAGCTCAGTGCTCTTCAGGAGCGCGTCCGCGTCTGTCTGTCCCGAAGGCGGCCCTCCGGGAGATGGTGTGCAGGGAGGGGCGACGCGGGAGCCGCTGAGGCTGAAGGCGCGGCTGACCCCCCACCCTGTTGTTTTATTACCTGTTAACTCCTTGGCCCCTCGGACGCTCAGTGGCCCCGACTTCTGAGGTGATTACTGTCTCCCTTCCACCGCCTGCGGCCGCAAACCGGGCTCGGGGCTCCCCCTCCCTTCCTACCTGACCCCTGCGTCCTTCGTCCTCGGCCCTGCTACCGCGCTCTCTCCCGCTGCTGGGAGATTCTCTCCCTCTGCTGGGAGATTCTCTCCCGCTGCTGGGAGAGTCCCCACCTTGTCCTCCTGCTGAACGTGTCCTTCCAAGTCGCCTTTCACATGCCTTTTCTTCTGGGCCTTCTCCTGGCCGCTGAGGCAGAGTCTGTCTTGCGCCCGCGTGGCCTCTGTGCACGGGGCAGAGACCGCGTCTCTCCATGCTAGCGGCCAGGACTGTGTCCGGTGCAAGGTGTGTCCCCAGTAAACAGGCTGCTGCTTTCTCCCGCCAGACTGTGAACTCCCTGGGAGCAAATGCCTCACTTACTTTCAAAATCTCTAGTGCCGGGGCCCCTGGGGGGCTCAGTCGTTCGGCGTCTGCCTTCGGCTCGGGTCATGATCCCAGGGTCTTGGGGTCGAGCTCCCCGTTGGGCTCCCTGCTCAGTGGGGAGCCTGCTGCTTTCTCCCACTCCTCCTCCCTCTCTCGCTATGTGTCCCTCTCTCTCTGTCAAATAAATAAAATCTTACAAAATAAAATCTCTAGTGCCTGGCATGTTACGTGATTCACTAGACACCTGTTGACTGGATACGTGCCCTTCCTGGGTCTCATTTGAATGTCTTATGAATGGATCGTTCTAGACGGGGAACACGAGGAGGCTGTGGTTCTGCCCTGGGGTTCGGTTGCATGTTTAGGGGCTGCACACTATCATTTCCATGGTGTGTGGTCGGTGATTATGTACTCGGTCATGCTTGTCTTTCTGTGCTGGGCTGGCTTTCCATGGCAGCCTTGGTGTCCGGATCTTTTTGATTGCTTAGTTTGCCTTTCTGGTTCTCAACACCACCTACTCCTCATGCTTTCTTGTCAAATTTTTGAAGATCCGAGTTTTTTTCTGTGGCCTCCCTCTCCCCTCCTTTTTGGTAATCTTCCAAATCACTCGTGTATAATGAAGGCAAAGACTTTTTGTAACTTCTCAAAAGTGAAGTAATGTTCTTTCTCGAAGTAGATAGCATAGTGCTTAGTGGGTTAAGCTCTAGGCCCTCTGAGTTCAGATCCTGGATCTGCTACCACTTTCAAACCTCACTTTCCTTATCTGTAAACGGGGAAGATAATCGTGCTTAACCTCATAGGTTCATTTCGAGGAATACGAGAATTACCCAAAGCCAAGGGCGTAGATATTGCTTAGTGTGTGGACAGAAGCCTTCAGTCCCTGTTAGTGTTCTGCGTGTGGCCCACATGGCCTCCTCTCCCATCCTTCCTGTGCAAGGGCACAGCGGACAGGTGTGGACGGCTCAGTGTCGCTGGTAGCTGGTGCTGCTGCTCCTAGAGTCGCCTTTGCGGTGTGCCTGAAATCACGTGGGAGATTGCTTGACCTCTCTCTGTAGACCGTTTTCTTTCGTTGGCAGAATACTAAAGGGGCATGAGTACTCTTTGAAAGCTCTTATTAGCATTTTCAAAAATACAGTTTTATTATTGAAATTACATACCGGGTTTGTGTGTGCGTGTCCATTATTTTGCATTTGGCTTGCTATACATGATTTTTTTGAAATGAATTTGTCTTTGAAGTAGGAAGTGTTAGAGCACTTGAGCACAGGTCAGAGAAGTGACCTTTGCCTTCGTATGATGTCCTGTCCGGGGATTCCGACCTACAGGTGATCAGAAGTTAATAGTCCCCCCAACCCAGCAGGGCCCCCTGTGCTGTCGTGGCTTCTCCCACGCCGTGAGCTTCAAACGTAAGAGCGAGTTTCTGAGCAGTTCCAGTGTTCGATTACAGTCCAGTCGTGCTCTTTGATAGTGAGTACGTGTTTGGATTTTAAAATACCGCAGCGCAGGTGCTGTGTGCAGGCGCCCAGGAGTGCTTCTCAGCTCTTAGGGTTCCTCCTCCTCCTAGCCTCTTACGACCGCAGCGTCCGACTTCAGGGAGGCGTTCGGTCGTCCCAGACGTGCGTCCGTACCGCACGCGCCCCACGGGGAAGCAGGTGAAAGTGGAGCGCAGTCGGGGGGGAGGCCCTGAGCCTGTGCGGCCTGTAGACCAGCGAGGACTGGGAGCTTACCCGTGTGGGGGGTCAGCGGAGCGGCTTTTGCCAGCATGGGCCAGGTTTTAAGGTAAAATGTTGGCTCGTGGAATTTTAGACTTTTTCCTTTAAATTCACTTAGCCAACATACCGAACATCATTCATTCAGACGTAGAGGTCAGTGATTCATCGGTTGTGTTTGACACCAGTGCTCATCACGGCGTGCGCCCTCCTCCGTGCCATCACCCCGTTACCCCATCTCCTCACTCTAATTTCAGGCTTAACTGTGTTTTTTCGTAGTTGTAACAGTGCACACTATTTTAAGGAATCTTAGCCTTTTAGCTATAATCAAATAACGAACATATATTAAATCTGGACAAATGGAGATAGAAGGGAAAAATCATAGACACAAACGTATCAGTTCTATTCATAAATAAGGATACTGGCTAGAAATTTTTATCTAGAAGCTTTCTCTGATTCTGACCATCATAACTTTGCACTTTTTTCTTTAAATTTTCCATTTGCCCTCCTCCTTTAAATTAATTAAAATTTAAAACAAAATATTTTTCTGAATTTGGTCATAGTAGATAAAATCTTTTTATTTGAAATTCAAAAAGTGGAATTTTCTATAGTGGAAAATATCTGGAGGATTTTTTTTCCTTTCTCTTCTCTTCTCCCTTTTCTTTTCTTTTCTTTTCTTTTCTTTTCTTTTCTTTTCTCTTTTCTTTCTTTTTTAAAGTAAGCTCAGTGCACAACGTGGGGCTCAAACTCATGACCCCGAGATCAAGAGTCACATGCTGCATTGACTGAGCCAGCTGGGTGCCCCGGATTTACTTCTTTGGCTTTAAATTTTGTCAGTGAGAAACTTTTCATTCTGCACACTGTTGATTCACATATCAATGTATAATTTTGAATTGGCTTAATTACTTGCCTTCTGACACTATTTTGATACTGTATTTGTTTTTGTTATGAGATCTGTTTATTCATTTTTTTTAAAAGATTTTCTTTATTTATTTGACAGACAGATCACGGGTAGGCAGAGAGACAGGCAGAGAGAGAGGAGGAAGCAGGCTTCCTGCTGAGCAGAGAGCCCGATGCGGGGCTTGATCCCAGGACCCTGAGACCATGACCTGAGCCGAAGGCAGAGGCTTTAACCCACTGAGCCACTCAGGTGCCCCTGTTTATTCGTTTTTATGATTCATATATAATGTCTTGGAGTTTCAGTTTTATTTTGGATTACAGTTATAAAAATAAAATGCCCAGGGAAACCTGGGGGGCTCAGTTGTTAAGCGTCTATCTTCAGCTCAGGTCATGATCCCAGGGTCCTGGGGTCGAGCCCCTGCATCAGGCTCCTTGCTCATCAAGAAGCCTACTTCTCCCTCTCCCACTTATCCTGCTTGTGTTCCTCTCTCACTGTGTCTTTCTCTGTCAAATAAATAAAATTTTAAAAATAAAATAAAATAAAATAAAATGCCCATACACTATAGACTGGAACAATTCTGGGGGGAGGAGGGTTATCTTTAAGTATTTTTATTTTATTTGAAATGTTTAAGTTTACTATTTATTACTTCGGTTCCTTCTATGTACCAAGTAATTTTGTTCAAAATTTTAGTTTTATGATGAAAACAGAATTTTTTTTAAATAACTAGGTTTAGCTTTTGTTTATTTTATTTTTTAAAAGATTTTATTTATTTATATGACAGAGAACACAAGCAGGCAGAGTAGTGAGCAGAGGCAGAGGGAGAAGCAGGCTCCCGGCTGAGCAAGGAGCCTGTATGCAGAACTCGATCCCAGGACCCTGGGATCATGACCTGAGTCGAAGGCAGTCGCTTAACCCACTGAGCCACCCAGGCTCCCTGAAAAGAGAATTTTTTAAAATTCAGTAACAGTACTGAATTTTTTCATCAGATATTTTATTGAGATAATTGTAGGCTCATGTGCAGCTGTTAGAAATAATACAGAAGGATCCTGTGTTCACAGTGCCTGATTTCACCCCCCGGGGGGTTCTGTTTTATAAAACTGTACTATGATAATCACAACCAGGGTATTGGCATGGATATAATACACTGATGATATTCAGATATTCCCGGTTTTACTTGAACTCTCTTGTTTGTGTAAAAAAATCAGATTTTGTTTTTAGAAGACTACTGAAATACTAACTTTAATTAGGTCTGTGATCTAGTGGGGGGGGCATTTAACTTCTTGTGCCTCAGACTTCTCATTAGGTCAGAATGTTTGTATGATCTTTAGGATCCTTTTTCGGTGAAGACATTCTGTAATTTTTGTTTGAGAGTATATTAGAATTTGAAATTAAAGCCTTTTTTATCTTTTCTCTTTTTGTGTGTAGGAAGAAAAGGCTTCTCTTTTACATCGTACTCAGGAAGAAAGAAGAAAGAGAGAGGTAAAAACAGTTTTGTAATAGTCTCTTTAAATAAGCATTTTCCATAGCATTTAAATAAGTCTGTCGTAATGTGTATAGATAGATGTATGTTATATGTGACATAACATGCATATTTTTGTGTATATTAAACTTCGGAAGCATTTCTGGATTATTTGGATTTATGATAAGTAATTTATTCTGGAACCAGTGTGGAAAAGACAGACTAAGTGGGCAGTTTCCAGAATAGAGGGGAAAGCAGGCTTTTATAAAGTTCTCTTGCTTGCTTATGATAATGGTTTCTAGAAGATCTAGAAAGACTTAGTATATCATGTTCATGTTTTGCCAATTAAAAGAAGAAAACTCACTGTTAAGGCAAATATCTTAATTATTTGTGTAGAAGATAAACAAATGGAGCTAGTGACATTTGTTGTTTTTTGTTTGTTTAATACATTCTTTTTTTTTTTAAGATTTTATTTATTTATTTGACAGAGAGAGAGAGAGATCACAAGTAGGCAGAGAGGCAGGCAGAGAGAGAGAGAGGAGGAAGCAGGCTCCCCGCTGAGCAGAGAGCCCGATGTGAGGCTCCATCCCAGGACCCCGGGACCATGACCCGAGCCGAAGGCAGAGGCTTAACCCACTGAGCCACCCAGGCGCCCCTGTTTAATACATTCTTTATTTTACATTTCATCTCTCTGGTGACAGTTTCTTAACATTGCTTGTTTTGTTAATTTTAATGGGCAATTATGGTATATTTTATGGCCTACTTTTCCAGACTTCTGTTTTGTTTTCTGATCATTCATTTGTTCCTTTAGCAAATATTAATTGAGAGCTTGATACATTCCAGGTGCTGTTCTGCTTGCTGGCTGTATGGATAGTGAATAAGATGGATAATGTTCTTGCTGGGTTCTGGAGCACAGATGAAAGTGCTGTGAGGGCAGTGGGACAGGGTGATGGTGACCGGGAAGGGTGTTCAGGGAAGGAGACTCTGAGCTGGTTAGAGTTGAGCTGATAACTGAAGGATGAAAAAGAAGCTGGAGGAAGAGCATTCTTGGTGAAGGGAACAGCAAATACGAAGAGTTTTAGGTGGGCTCTCTCAACCTCAGCACTGCTGACTTTTTGGACCAGATTATTCTTTGCTGTAGGGGCTTACCCTGACCCTGTACACTGAAGGGTGTTCAGCAGCATCTGTGGCCTCTGCTCCAGCCACTAGATGCCACGGCGCTCCTGCTTTTCTCTCCAGTTGAGATAACCAAAATTACCTCCAGATGTTCCCTGGGTGATGTAACTGCTGTCAGTTGAAAGTGACTGCTCAACAAGAAGTGTTGGCTGATGTCTTTCATCTTTTCTGGGAAATTCTCAGCTGTCATCTCTTGAGTAGTGTTTCTGTTCCATCCTCTCCTCTTCTTCTTGGACTCAAATTATGTACATATTTGACCTTTGCGTTGTGTCATATATCTCTCCTATGCTCTTCCATATATTTATTGTTTTGATTATTTCTCTTTCAGTTTGGATATTTCCTTCTGACCTAACTTCTAATTTACACATTATCTCTTTACCGGTGTCTAATTGTTACATATATTCTTTGAATTCTGAACTTCAGATTTTATTTCAGTTCTAGAATTGTCTTTATTTCCCAGTTCTCTTGTCTTTTAATTCCATGAACATAATTATAGATTATTAAAGATAATGTTTAAACTCCAGTTTTGGATCACCTCTGGGTTTGTTTCTGTTGTTTGTCCTTTTGATTTTTAGTTCTTGTCTTTTGCCTGGTTATTTTGGTTGAATGCTGTGAGTTTATATGGCAAAACAAAAAGCAAAAAGCTCTCTTTTTGGAGAGCGTTACATTTTCTTTTGGCAGGCAACAGGAAGAAGGACAAATCATCTTTAATTAATACAGGGTTTAGCTGGTTTGCAGCCCTTCTTCGGTCCTTGTCAGGGTCAGTCTGTTTCCAGTACATTTACAATGGAGCCTTTAGGTCCCTGTTCCAACCAGAAGGCTGGGATGCTACCAAGACTTCCTCCTCAGTGAACAACCGAATGAATAAAAGTAAATGTTTTGAAAACTCATGGGACCATATAGGTTTTTAATGAAGTGCTCTTAGAATCATTGTAATGAAAAGATTTCCAAACTAGGTTTAGGCTCAGGGGTTCGTTTGCTGTGAGCACTTGAAGCTCAGAAAGTACACTTGCATGCCCCGACGGGTGTTCTGCCATCCTAGGATTGTGTGTGTGCACGTGTGCCTTTCAGCCTGGCAGGTGACATTCCTGGAGGACAGGAAATGGTGTCGTGGGGCAGGGTGAGTGCAGGCCTTAGTGTCGCACTTGGCTTTGAGCTCTGACTCGCGTACGTCTTGTAGCATCGCTTTCTTTTTGTGGAGGTTTCAGCTTCTACATTGTAAAACTGGGAGGAGTCGTCGAGGGTGATTGTGCGGTGTCTCTCTTAGGGCCCGCGCACAGTAGGCTTTCAAACGGTGGGAGCTGCTTTTGGTTACAACAATGGGAAGAATAAATTATTTCTGCTAGGTCACTGAAAATTTTAAGAGAGTCTTAACCAAAACTGGAGTTTTCTGCTTTGAGATAAGAAAAGTGGCTTTTAAAATTGATGTTTGGGTCGTCTGTGTTCTTTTTCTATTTCAAACTACGGCTGTCCTTATAAGGCTCAGTGAGCTGGTGGGATTGTGAAATGGTGTAGCCCCTTGGAAAACAGTCTGGCTGTTCCTCCAATGTTATTCTGCTCCTGCGCATACACCCAAGAGAAATGAAAACCTGTGTCCGCACAAAACTTTTACATGAATGCCCACAACAGCATTGTTTGTAACAGCCCAGAGTGGGAACAGCCCAAATGTCTGTCAGGTGGCAAATGGATAAACGAAATGCGAGCCATCCTTATGGAGAAATATTAATTGGCCGTGAAGAGTCGTGCAGTATTGATAAGTGATACAGCATGTATGAACCTTGAAAATACTGTGCCAGGTGTAAAAAGTCAGACACAGAAGGCCACATATTACAGGATTCCACTATGTCCAGAATAGGCACTCCCATACAGACGGAAATGTGATTGGTGGTTGCCGGGGATCGGGGAGCCAGGGCAGGGATTGAGGACTGAGCGCTAATCGGTACAGGGTTTGGAGTGTGTGCTGAAAGTATTCTAGAATCAGATTGTGGTGACACTTGAATTTTGAATATTTTAAAAATCGGTGAATGGTATGCTTGAAAGAGTGAATTTTGTGGTCTGTAAATTCTATAGCTGTTTGGTTGTGTTTTTTTTTAAGTCTTTGCTAGCTAAACACCGTTTCACTAAGACCCAGTTATTCCTTCCTCCCTCCGTTATGCAGGAGGAAAGGCGAAGACTGAAGAACGCGGTAATCATACAGTCATTTATACGAGGCTACAGAGACCGGAGGCAGCAAGTAAGTTTGCTTTTAAGCTGAGGAAGAATTAGGCACACCAGAGCTCATTTTAGATATGGCCTTGAGCCTTGGAAGTGGACTCCACTTTGTGGGTATTTTAGCACACGTGTGTAATGAAAGTCAACGTGGATAATAGTGTTTTCCCCAATAATTAATTTTAGTAGTTTATATTTACGTAAAGATTTATAGATTGGGGAGTTCTGAGGTGATTTTTGAGTAACAATATAGAAACGGGGTGCGGCTGAAGATGGAAGTGTTGAAGGGCCTCTGGGGGCTGAAGGGTCCTCATTCCAGTCCCAGTTTTCTGGGTTTCATGTCACCTTTTTGCAAGAACTGCACGGCAGTGCACCCAGACTGGGGCCCCCCGCCCCCTCTCCTGTCCCTCTCCGCCCCTTCCCCCACCCCTCTCCGCAGCCCTCTCCGCCCTGCAGCCCCCCGGGCACACTTGGGCTGCTACCCTAACCGCTGCGGCTGCACACCTGGCCCACGAGCCCGTGCTTTGCCTTGCCCCCAGCACGCCCTCCGGAGAAGCGCCTTCGATCGCTGCGCCAGCGCCTCACAGCCGGGGGGCACTTTCTCCGTCGCCAGCGGGCCCAACCTTACCCTCCTGGTGAGGCAGCTGCTGTTCTTCTACAAGCAGAGCGAAGACTCGAAACGGCTGGTGAGTGTCGGCTCCACGTCACGCAGCCCGTTCGTGGGGTTCCCAGCATTTTGTTTCTAATGGGGTCGGACGGCCTCCAGTGTGTGTTTGCGAAGCTAGATTGCTAGAGGTAACCTCGTGCACCTTATGATTAATTATTGTATTTCTCGCGTGTTTTTACTATGAATTGCTGATTTTTGCAAATGAGCTGTTTTATTTCAGATTTAGATGGGTTTTAAGTGTACTTTGTTTTAGTAATACATTTAGTGACTTACCTTTATGCTGATGAGCTGTGTTAACGCAGAAAATCTAGGTCGTGTGGTCTGCGGTACAGAATAAATCCTGATCGAGAAGATTCACGTTTTATCACGTCTCGGTGCAGTGTCTGTTCGCCGCTTACGGAAGTCGGGAGCGTTACTGTGCTGTAACAGCGAGCTTCGTGCGGACTGAGGTGACCGTGTGCGTTGTGTTTCAGATATGGATGTATCAGAACTTGATCAAACACAGCTCTCTGTTTGTCCGGCAGTTGGATGGGTCCGAGAGACTCACGTGTCTGTTCCAGATAAAGCGGCTGGTGAGCCTCGGATGCAGGTAACCAGTCAAGGCAGGCACGTGGCGAGGGGGCGTCGCCTGTGGGCTTTGGGACGACCCTGCCATCCGGTGTGTGCACACCTCTGTTCTGTTCTGTTTTACAGGTTACTGCAAAGCTGTAGTGACGACAGTTTGAACGTCGCGCTTCCGATGAGGATGCTGGAGGTGTTTTCGTCTGAGAATACGTACTTGCCCGTCTTGCAGGACGCTGGCTATGTGGCGTCCATCATTGAACAGATCTTGCACTACGTGATTCAGAATGGTAGGTGGCGGCTGGGCCGGGGCAGGGCCGGCGGGGTGCCCTGTAGAGCTTGCGCACCTGCTCCGAGCACCAGGCATGACGGCAGCAGGGCCCCGCTGCCCGCACTCATCCTCCACCATAAACCTCTGGACGCGCGGTCCGCTCTCTGACACCTCCTGTGCCTGAAAGTGAAGCAAATGGATGCTCGCGTCCAGGAACCTGTGGGGCCGCGCTGACGTGCGCCTGCGGCAGCCGATCCCCCCACAGCGGGGCCAGCATCCGCGTCCCCAGCTGGCAGGGGCAGTGGTGCCGCAGGACCGAGGGACAGATCAGTGGCTTCGCCGGTCTCAGGAGGAAATTCCGGTCTTCACCTCAGTCCGGCAGAGGAGACGAAGACGCCGGGTCTGAGATCTCTTTCTGACTGGGTCGTCATGCTGTGAGGCATTGACGCTCTCCCGGTCATGGCTGCGTTGTGTTAAGGCATAATAACCGAGATCCGAAATTCCTCCGAGGACACTTTGGTGACTGAAACAGAGAGGGCTTCTGACACTTCCGTGATGAATTAAGCAGTGTGAGACGAACACTTAACAGTCTGACTCCCAGTAGTCTCACAGCTAGGAAGACAAACACTTCAGGGCTTGGACTTGAGAAGGACTAGCATTAAAAAATAGGTACGTTATTGGTCAGAAGACGTGCTGTAGGTGGTTCTGGAAGGCAAGAGTTACTGGTAAAACCGTAAATCAGTGTCCCTTTGTTCCCCAGAGCGGATGGACTAATCTAGGCTAAACCTAGCTAATTCAGTCCTCAGTTCTGAAACTAAAAATCCGATTCGCATACATCTCAACCTTAGTGTTTGGCCTCGGTTTAAAAAAAAAGATCAAGTGGTTCCTGGGTGGCTTAGTTGTTAAGCATCTGCCTTCAGCTCAGGTCACGATGCCAGGGTCCTGGGTTCAAGTCCCGCATCAGGCTCCCTGCTCAGCGGGGAGTCTGCTTCTCTGCCCTTCTGGCTGATGTGTACATGTGTGTGTGTGCTCTCTTTCTCTCTCTCTCTCTCAAATAAATAAAATCTTAAAGAAACCTCCTTAGTTTGTTGAAAAATTAGGGAGTCAACTGAAAGTAAATTGAAATTTGTGGGCTTTGATCTTTTAAAAAAAGTAATGGTGATTAAAATCATCCCTTCTATTGGCTGATGCCTGATTGTGTGTATTGATTAAGGCTGAGCAATCCGTGAGAGTTTTTACTTTTATTGTTTTCTAAAAGTTTAAAGAATATAAGAAATGCATTGTTTTGCAATGTGTCTAGAAGTAGAAAGTGTGTCACAACCTTGCGGAGAAATCGCCACTCTGGCACCTTCCGTGGGGACGCGTGACGCTGGCACCTTCCGTGGGGACGCGTGATGCCATTGGTTGATTGTACAGCTCCGCACGGTGCTCAGGCCCTTGTGGCAAGCGTGGCCACCGTCCATCGCGTGCTCTGTTACTGTCGACGGTGCTCCCTGTGCTGTGCTTTCCGTCCCTGTGACTTAGTGACGTCACTGGGAGTTTGTTGCTCTGAATTCCGCTCAGCGGTTTCTCCCGGCAGTAGGAGTCTGTGACATTTGGCACTGTTTCCTAATGCCAGCGTGTGTTACTGTACGCATGCGCGTGCCCTAACGAGTGCGGCTGGACTTCAGACTCTAGTCGTGCTGTCAAGTGATCTGTTTAGTACATAGATTGGTGTTGACATGTTAATGGTATAATATTTTTCAAATTTTCTTGATGTGGTATTTTTAAAAATTCTCGATGTACTCCTTATGCTGTCCTTTTTTTGTTTTGTTTTTTTGCTTTAATCTCCATGACTTACTTGGTTTATGGCTGAAGTTTGTGCCTCTTGATCCCGTTCGTCTGTCCCGCCCACTTTCGCCATGAGCCTGAAGAGCTTTCAGGCTTCCCTGCTTAGGTTTCGCTGGAGATGAGAATGCATGAGGTCGGGGTTGGAGTTACAGAGCAGGTGTGAGGACAGAGCACAGAAGAGTCAGTGTTTCGTGGTCATGACTCAAGGGGAGATCGTGGAGTCTGTCTGCTCAGCTGGGAGCCCCCAGCTGTGGGGCAGCGATCAGGTGGATTGGGGTAGAAGCCGGCCTTGTGGTGGTGGAAGGGCTCACCTGAAGCGGAACAAAGAGGACGGAAACGTATCGCGTCCACTGCAGGGAGCAGAGGCTGGGCTGTCTGCCCCGAGGCCGTTCGTGGGGGCTGTGTGTAAAGGAGGAAAGTGAGGGGGTCTGGGACATACGGAATTTTCTCCCTTTTTGGTAACTGTGCCTCACTGTAAGCAGCCCATTGGTCAATTAGGGCCTATAGATATTTCAAGGTGGGTCGCCTGGTGGGCCTGACCCTGTTCAGCCAGGGCTTTGTGCCCTGATCTACTTCCCCTTGCTCAAGCCTGTTGCCTAAAAGTGGCCTCTGCATAAATTTGTGTAGGACTGTTTCCACAAAGTGAAGCACGTGAGTTGTGTGTTTAATGTGCGCTACCAAATGTGTCTGCACAGTAGGGAGATATTTGCACACGACACCTGAAGATTCCTCTTACCCCTTTGTAAAACGGGGGCGGATGTATTTAAAAGACTGTAGGATTTGGGTCACCGGTGAGGCCAGAGGTGATGCTTACTGCACACCTTGCAAGCCCATCAGACGCTTAGTGAGGTCAGAGAGGGTGTTGCTTCAGCTTGAATTCCCTGGTGCCCATACTGTGGCCTCCAAAGCCATCATTTCCTCTAAAAGGAACTGAAGAACTCGCCGGAGCAGGGCTGGCGAGTGGCCGGGTCCTGGCTTCTGGTCCGCAGATGAGGACAGGCGTTCTCGCGGCGCTCTCCATGAGTGGGAGAGCTCAGGGCCTGCCAAGCCCACCCCGCTGCCCAAAGACAGGATGGCCTGAGAGTCTGTGAGGATTACCGCTGTGGCGGATGCTTCCATGTGCCCGCATCCAGGAGTTCAATGTGCTCGTGAAAACCACAGAGTCGGTTAAATTCTTCCACCACGAAACCTGGGCCTTACTGGGATCCTGATTCAAGCAAACCAGTTAAATGAAATTTATAGCAAGCAGGAGTTGGAGACTTAAACACTGATTAGATGCAAGGAATTATTGTCAATTTATTTTAGCTGTCATAATGGCATTTTTAAGAAAAATAAAGTCCTTTGATGACACACTGAAATTATTTTATTTTAAATTTGCTTCCCAGTGAATGGAGGAGTGGGTGTTGGGCAGATGGAGCTTGTATACCTTTTCAGGCAACTTACGTATTTAACTTTTTCTTAATAAAAATGTTGAAGGGAGGGGCATCCGGGTGGCTCAGTGGGTTAAGGCCTCTGCCTTCGGCTCAGGTCATGATCCCAGGGTCCTGGGATCGAGCCCCGCATCGGGCTCTCTGCTCAGCGGGGAGCCTGCTTCCCTTCCTCTCTCTGCCTGCCTCTCTGCCTACTTGTGATCTCTGTCAAATAAATAAATAAAATCTTAAAAAAAAAAAAAAAAAGTTGGGGCACCTGGGTGGCTCAGTGGGTTAAAGCCTCTGCCTTCAGCTCAGGTCATGATCCCAGGGTTCTGGGATCGAGCCCCGCATCGGGCTCTCTGCTCGGCAGGGAGCCTGCTTCCTCCTCTCTCTCTGCCTGCCTCTCTGCCTACTTGTGATCTCTCTCTCTGTCAAATAAATAAATAAAATCTTTAAAAAAAAAAAAAAAAAAAAAGTGGAAGGGAGTCCCGGCTGGCCCAGTGCGTGGAGTGTACAACTCTTGATCTGGCGTCATGAGTCCGAGTCCCACGCTGAGTGCAGAGATTACTTTAAAAAATTAATAAACTTTTTAAAAAGGGGCCATTGTCTGTTAAACTAGTAACATTTAATGAAAAAGGAAAGTTGAAGAAGAATTAAATTTGGACCCATGCAGATTTATAAAAAGCATTTTTAAATTGACTCATTTTTTTTACTCATTATGATTAAGGTACCAAATTTTAAGTATGTGTTTTTCCTTTCTTTTAGGGTATTATAGATCTCTCTATTTGTTAATTAACAACAAGCTTCCATCAAGTATTGAATATTCTGATTTATCTCGAGTTCCTATAGCAAACATTTTGCTAGAGAATGTTCTGAAACCATTGCACTTTACTTACAACTCCTGTCCAGAAGGTGCAAGGTAAGAATGGGGTCATTGACTGATTTTGTAAGTTCACAGGTTCTGTGTCTAATAGTAACTTTTACATGGATGCTATTTTACATGTAGACTTCAGAGTCAGATCTTTACTTTATTAGTGTGACTCAGTTTAAAGAAAAAGTTTACTGTTTCTGTTTGGCCTGTACCCTAATATAAATTTATGATTCTGATGATCTGGTTATTTTCCTGTCTTCTAGTAGCTGTTGATAGAAATGAAAACATGGCAAAACATTCCTCAATAGGAAAGGCACAAAATCAGTTAATTTCAAGGCAGTTTAGTTGATATCGAATACTTAGCTTCCATTAATTTTGAAAAGAATGTTTCTCACATGTTCATTGTAATCAGTGATTTTGCGAACAATGTGCTTCGGTCAGAGCTTCTGCTCCTCTTTCCAGGCGGCAGGTCTTCAGCGCCTTCACTGAGGAGCTTTTGGCGGCACCTTTCACGGATCAGGTTTTCCATTTCATCATTCCAGCCTTAGCGGACACGCACGCTGCTTTCCCGTACGAGCCCTTCCTGAATGCACTGTTGTTACTGGAGAGCAGGTGCTCCAAGACAAGCAGTGGGGCACCGTGGCTCTTCTTCTTTGTCTTAACGGTTGGCGAGCATTACCTGGGTATGAGATACAAGATGTGTTTTACCTGAACACACACGTGTGGTACTAGCAGATGCAAGTCCGGAGACGGGACTCCAGGGGCCGGTGGGCTGCGTCAGGGTGGCCTCTGCAGGGGGGGCGTATTTGCTGAAGGTCTGTGTCCTAGCCAGTGTCCCTGGGGAAAGTTTCTAGGCATGTAGTCCCAATTCAGGGGTGCCTGGCTGGCTCCTATCAGTGGAGCATGTGATTCTTGATCTCAGGTTGTGAGTTCGAGCCCCACCTTGGGTAGACATTACTTTAAAGAAGAAAAAAAGGGGGCCTGATTCAGATACATGTTACAAGGCCACACAGATTAAAAAATGTTTAAAGTTGATTGGGAGAACTCTGAGTGCAGGGTTGTTATCCCCATTTATGCCAAACTTCCAATGGGTGTGTGTTCTAGAATTATAGCATCTTTCTCTGATGTGTTGATACATACATCTGTGCATGAATTACTATAATTTTGATAAGAAATTGTGGTCAGAAATGTCTCTCTGAATATAAGAAAAGTGATACCCAAGTTTTCCAGTTTTGTTTGATCACTTCTAATCAGATATTACGACTGACTGTCTTACAAAGGGACCCTCTCTGAGGAAGGACTGCTGGTGTATTTAAGGGTACTCCAGACCTTTCTGTCTCAGCTCCCAGTTTCACCTGCCAGCGCGAGCTGTCCAGACTCGGCCAGTGACTCGGAAGACGAGGTTGAGGAGGCGGACCAGCAGCCAAGCGCTCCGGTGAGCTCCCGAGGGCCTGGGGCCGGCGAACGGGTTACACTGCACGCCACTCCTCCTGATCTGGGAGTCACTTTTAACTCTGTGTCCGTCCTTAGTTTCAACTATACAAGTAGCACATTAAAGCGTTCTTGTTGTAAAGCATTCAGACTGCAGATGAGGTTGCTCCATGGCTGCTCTGCTCTTCCCACACGTGCCCCTCCTGGCGACTGGGGGTTGGGACTCTCTTCCACACCTTCTCCCGCCCAAGTGTATGTGGGTGACGTGGTTACGTGAGTTTTCATGCACAGCAGGCCACGCTGTATATTAATTTAACTGTTACTTAGGAAATTTTCCTCGAAGTGAAATTGTTGGGTTAAAAGGCTAATAACAAGTTCCTAGTTCTCAGGAAGGGCACTTACTGTGTAACAAACATTGTTCTATTTTTAAGAATTTTTTTATAGCAGCTTTACGGCTATACACTTTACCATAAAATTCGCCCTTTTAAAGTGCTGTCCAGCTGAGTGATCTCTCAGTTCTTGCCTCCCTGCAGCCTCCGCTGTGCGGGTAGAGCGTTGTCTGCACAGAAACCCTCGCCAGTCACAGCCGCACGCACCCTCCCTTTCTCCCAGCCTCAAAGGGAGAAAAAGCTAAGTTCTTCCTTACCCTATCTTGTGGACACCAAGTAATGTCTCCTGTTACTTTTCAGCAGTTTTGTAGATGACAGGTGTTATGATGTATTTGAAAACGAATTTTGAGTTTATTGTCGTGTATAATTTCTGTACCCATTGTCCCATTTCTCACCTAGCATGGTTTGCTATTTTCAAAGGATAAAAAGCTTTGCATTATACACACATAATTTCTGTGATATTATCCGCTGCTTTTTCTCTTAATTACACAGTTGAAATGTCTTGAGGTTCGGATATCATGGGTTTAAAAAATTTTTTGTTAGGAAATTTCCCATTGATTAATACTAAGTCCAGTCCCAGAAAGACTACACTCTAGAGGGCTCAAGTTTTCCAGGGGAAGTAAATCTTTAGGATCTTGCAAAGTGAAAGGATGTGTTAGTACTACATCCTCCAATACAAATAGCTCTATTAGCAGAGATGGAAAAGTAACAATAAGAAAAACCAGATGAGTCCTTGCCCCTTACAACTAGAGGGCTAATTACAAAAGGGCAAAACTGAGTGTTTTTTGGTGGAAGCTGGAGGTCTTGTCTTGCATCTTTCAGAATTCAGAACTGCACCCAAAAATGTGACTTTTTTTGTATTGTTAAAAAAAAAAAAGTGGGATTCTATAGATAGAATGTAGATAAAAGTTTTTTGTTTTTAGAAGACACTTTGTAAATACTGAATAACTTTCTGGAGAAGCTGTGACATTAAAATGGTTATGCACAGTGTGGTTGGCATCCACGTGGAGATGAGGCTCGAGGCGGCACCCGCTGGGGAAATGTGAGGGAGTCCCTCCTCTCCCTGTGGACACAGACAGGAGCAGAGTAGGAGACACGGGGAACTGAGGGAACACTTGGGCTCGCTTGCTTGTGGTTACACGTCTCTCACATACGGAAAGGATGCCTTATCTCTGTTTATCTTATTCTTTCCCTTCCCCTGTGTTCACCTGTTTTGTTTCTTAAATCCCACATGAGTGAAGTCACATGACATAAGAGACTCTTAACTCTAGGAAATGAAACTGAGGGTTGCTGGAGGGGAGGGGGTGGGGGGCTGGGGTGACTGGGGGAGGAGCATGAAGGAGGGCACGGGATAGAATGAGCACTGGCTGTTCTGTATGACTGAGGAGTCACAGACCTGTACCCCTGAAACCAATAACATCCTGTATGTTAACTAAATTCAAATTAAATTTAAAAATTTTTTAAAGCCCGTAAGACTATAGATGAATATGGCATAAAACTTCTATTTCGAAGTTTCTAACTGTGAGGCTTTGATATGTGAGCCTTCTCCTGGGCTGGGCATCCCACAAAGCCGTTCAAATCTTTTTTGACAAACTGCAAAAAAAAAAAAAAGAAGAAGTGCAACTTAATTTTGTTACTTATAATTGTAGGAAATTTTACTCCACTTTATTTTTCTCCCTTAATATACAAGGGTTTTAAGGTCTGTGTTACTACAGGTGTGTGACTTGATACCTTTTGCTTCTCTTTTTCATTTTTTCCTCTTCATTATTCCCCTGCAATGTTTGTTACGTCTCCTTTCCTGTCCACATTTGGGTTCAGAACCAGTGACCCAGCTGTAGGCCAGGTACTCAACAGATACTCGAAATCTTCTTTATTTTTTGGTCAGATCTTTTTGTCCATTGCTTATATATTGCCTTTTCTTTCCTGTGATAATTATGTAGAATCTAATTTGATTGAATGAGATTTTTCCAGAGTCAGATTTCACTGTTTTTAAACACTTAGGTCTCTGTATAATTTAAGTATGACACTACGAAAGTAGTACCCGTGCATGTTACTTACAGATTCAAGTTTGGCAGGTAGAATTTATTACTTTCATCTAAAGCAGTGTTTTATTTGGTAGATGATTGTTGATGACATAACTCCTATCCATACGAGTTTCCAGACAGGGTCGTCAGTAGCACCCGGTGTTGTGCATGTATTTTCATACTCACGTACACTTGAGTATGCGCGCACATAGATGAGAAAAGCATGTGTCTTTGGTGAATTCCCCATATAGATAAATACACAGCAGCTTAGTTCAGGTTTACTCAGTGAATCAGATCCTTAGAGAAAATAAGATATAAAATGTATCTTATTTGATTTTTTAAAAAATATTTAATATTCTGACTATTTTTGCTTAAACTGTAGTCTCCCAGATAGCTTACAATGGAAGTTCTGCTAGATGGTAATATATTCCCACACATGTGTGCTTAGTACAGTGGTATTTAAAATATGAAATTAATTTTTCCTGAAATGTCAATACTGAAATATTGTCCGATCAGGAGGCAAAAACTGAGTATGTACAGTTCCTGTGTTGTTACGCTGGGTAAAATTGGTGCCTAATACAGACGACGACTATGGGTGGAACTCTAGAAAGTTTCATAGTACTTCAGTGGATGTGCCCGTTGTGATGTGGGCCACTTTTAGATCAGGCCTGTTTTGTGTTCTCGGGGAGTGGAGTCCGATCCCGTGCGCAGCGTAGCGGGTCCTTGCCGCCCAACCGTCGTGAACTCAGAGCAGCTTGCCCGCTGTGTTTAGGAGGACGGCCGGCTGTCGGTGCTCTACATCACCGAGGAATGTCTCAAGAAGCTGGACACGAAGCAGCAGACCAGCACCCTGTTGGCCCTGGTGTGGAGGGACTCCGCCAGCGAGGAGGCCTTCACTCTGATGGCGTCCATCGGCCACACGCTCATGGTGCAGCACCGGATGGCGGTGCCCAGAGTCAGGCAAGTGGCGCGGGGCCGCGTGAGCAGCGGCGTGTGCCCCCGTGGCGGCCTGGGCTGCTGCTTCCCCATGGGGCGCAATGGAGGAGGTTCCCGCAGTGCAGCCGTGCGTGGAGAACGACCACTGGTCTTTCTTCTCTAAACCAGCCGGTCCTGTTCGGCTCCGCTTCCCTGGCCTGTCGTGTAGTCAATGACACGAGCGCATTTTCTTAGTGGGCCGGAGAGCAGGCTGCGGTTGAGGCCTGGCCCCTCTCCGAGCGCCGGACCCAGCCGGCCTTCCGGAGCCCGTGTGTCCCCGGCTTGTGGCGCTCTCGCGGCGCGCCTGGCGTCGGGCCGCCCTGGGCAGCTGTGTGGCGGGCCTGTGAAGGGACAGGCCCAGGTCAGGACGTGGCCCGTGTGCTGACGTAAGTACGTGGGACCGCAGCGTTGAACAGTTTTTCTCTCATTGGAGTGCTGGCTCCGTGGTATCCGGAGAACGTGGCAAATATCTCACAGCACACGCTGCAGGGGTCGTGGGGTTCGAGGGGGAGCGCAGGGACGGACGGCCCGCAGACGATCTGCTGAAAGCCTCCGTCTCCCCACACTGGGGCCCGCGCTGTGTCCGACCGTTGAGGCCACCCGAAGAGTTCTCTTCTGTTTCTATAAAGTGCCTTCCTGTGGCGCGGAAAGAGCTGCTGTCTCGGTTAGGAAAGCAGCCTGCCTGGATGGGCAGCACGCTGAGGACACAGCACCGGCCGAGCCCGCCTCGGACACCGCATGCAGCCCGCCGGCCCGCGCTGGCTCAGCGCCCCGGTGTTTGCTGCCACTGGAGGAAGTGAGGCGGCAGGGGCCGTGCTCCCTCCGCGGGGAACTGGCTCTCTGTGGGCTGCCTGCGGCAGGGCAGGATGTCAGATCTCGGGAGCAGAGCAGCTCAGCCAGGACCCGGGCTTTGCTGGCGGCGCGAAATCCGCCACTGTGGGAGTAACCACGGCAGTTAAATGCGTCGCTGCCTGGTCTGGGGCTCACCCGTGAGCTGTTCCCGAAGGGTGTTTAGTGGGTGAAGGAGCTTTATATGGAGCCTTGGTTTTACGACTACTGCACCTGTTTCCTCTAAGAAACAACTCCAGGAATTTCATTTATGGTTTAAATTCGTCAGCTTTTAAGTACCTGAATGTTTCCCATAGCTCGTGAAAGCAAGTAGACTTACTTAACTGTGCTCGATTTTCACTGCTTTCAAGTTTTTTGGTGGTTTTTTTTAAGGTATTTAAAAGATGATTAATAAATTCAGGGCCGATGATGCCCTGTCAGTGCCTCTGAGCCCACGCGAGTCCCTCTTTCGTGGTTGGGATTTGCAGTTTTAATTTCTTCTTTCTCTTCTTCTGCTTCTGCTGCTGCTACTGCTTCTGCGGTGTCTTCAGATTATGCATTTGCTTTAGTGGTGGGAGGGGCAGAAGGAGAGAATCTTACACGGGCTTTACACCAAGCTCAGGGCCCGACTCGACTGGCACTCAGTCGCAGGACCCTGGGACCCTGACCTGAGCCAAAATCGAGAGTCAGACGCTCGACGGACCGAGCCCCCCAGGCACCCTGCAGTTTTAATTCCTGTCTAACATTCATTGTCAGGATGTATAAAGGAACAGGAAGACCCTTTGTACACTGATGTGGGAGGATTTCCAAGGTACATGTTTAATTGAAAAAAGGAAACTACAGTGCAAAGTGGATAATAACCTACTTTTGTGTCAGAATGGTGAGAAAAGTGGGAATGTATGTTTGTATTTGCATAAAATATATTGGACCACATACACAGGGAAGTCATAGAGCTGATTATTTACATGTCTGTGCTGGGGAAGTCAAGAGTGGAGGAGAATGTGGACTTCTCACTGTACTTTTTTTAAACGATTTTTATTTATTTATTAGAGAGAGAGCGCACGCGCGCACATGAGTGAGGGTAGGGGCAGAGGGAGAAGTTGACTCCCCGCGGAGCAGGGAGCCTCATGTGGGGCTCAATCCTAGGACCCCAGGATCATGACCTGAGCTGAAGGCAGACGCTCAACTGACTGAGCCACCCAGTCAGTGGCCCTTTAGTGTGTGGTCTTTGATAGGTTTTGAGTTTCAGATTATGGGAATTACTTAAATTTCAAAAAAGTAATAAATGAATTTCCAGCTCCTTTTATGGGAGAAAATTCATAAATCTTGCCATTGGACTTGGGACTCTGAATAAATATTCGGATATAAAATTTATTTTTTTCTTAAGAAAATATATTCACTATCTTTATTGTGAATACTGTGGTTGTATTGTGAGAGGGAAAACAAGAAGGCAGTACCCCAGTGTCCAGAGAACTAAACCCAGAGAGATGGGCACTTATGTGGACACGTGAGGGCGGCCCACGTACGGTGCTGAGCGTTGACCCCGGCTGACTTGGACTCTGAGCTGGCAGGCGGGGGCTTAGTGTGTCATCGGACGGCTTTGTGCTGCTGGGAAGGGTTCCACATAGAGCTGAGGACCGTGCCCTTCTGTGTGCCCTCCCTTTGGCCACGCCTCATCCTGCCCTGCCTGGGGGATGGGGGGTGCGGCACCCCACAGGGCACCCCGCAAGCCCGGCCCTCCGTGGCCCTCCGCACAGCTGTCCTTCCTCTTCTCAAACCTCCCTCCCCTGCTGCCTTTGCAGACGCTGTTCTCACGACTTTCCCTTTGCTGTTGGGCTTCTCTTCTGTTTCTCCAAGGCTCTTCTCCGTCTGTGTTTCAGTGTTTCCTCAATTTCTTTGACTTCCTTTCCCTTTAGTTTCTTCGTTTTTTTCCTACTCGGTCGGTTTTCTGGATAGGCTCCGGCCACTTTCTGGAGCTCCAGACTCCCGTTAGCAGTTTAACGGGCTGTACCGAGACCCCTCCCCGCTCCATGAGATTGAGTTCAGCACACTCCCCCAAAACCCGGGGTTACACTGGGGGAGCCACTAGCAAAACGTGGCTACTTCACTTGAAATTAATTACAGTGAAAGTGTAAACCCAGTTCCTTGGCCACGTAGCTCGGCACCCTTCAAGTGCGTGGTGGCCTCGTGTGGCTGGCCAGTGCCGCCCTGTTAGCTAGCACAGCACAGACCACTCCCAGCGCCACAGAAAGTCTGCTGGACGGACTGGCTGCGGAGCGCGGGCTTGGAGCCGCTCCTCCCGTGGCGATGGTGCAGACGCAGTCAGTTGCCGTGACGCGTGTGTGTTCGTTCTCGCGCTCTGCTCTGCCGGGCTGAATGGTCAGAAACATGACCCGGTTGCTGTCCTCCTCACGCACCTTAGCTTTCAGTAGAAGACTCGGGTTCCGCAGTCACTGCCAGGCTCTGTCCCCCGCACCGATCAAGTGTTCGGTCACCTCTGCCCCAGCCACGCTCGCGCTGGCTCTCTGCCTCCCCTGTGTTCCAGGCCAGGTCCCTTTGCCTCTGCTAGACTCTGTCCAAAATGCTTCTTTCCTCCTTGAATTCTCTTTCTTGGCTCAGTTGTCTGTGAGACTCACACTGAGGTTATCCCGTCAGAGGCCTTCCTGAGTCACACACTGAGATGTCGCCTGTAATTCCAACTTTCTGTGACATTTTCATTTTATGGCAGGCGCTTCCTGTGAGTGCTGTGTCAGGAGTGGGGCTCACAGCCCAGCAGCCGCACGGACTTGTTCCTGGTCCTCAGCTCCTCTGTTGCATGCACTTCTAGAACCTTTGAAATGGAATTTTTGAAAGTAATGTTTTGGGCATCACAAAGGTTGCTGTTATCTTCCTGTGGTTTTCTTGAAAATACATCCACTCACAGTGCCTCACAGATCAGCTTTATTGCAACATGTGCTGCATTTCTCTACCAAGAACCCATAGAATGAGCCAGCTTAATTGTTTTGCGTGATGAATCATGATTTAGACAATGGTTTGTCTGGAAGCGCACGGCTGTTGTCCTGTGCTCTGGGCGCGGCCGAGGGCTTTCTTCAGCCCTGGCTCACAGTTCCTGTCCGTGAGAGCCTGAGGTAGCACGCGCATGCCCGTGACTTTAGTGGGGGATACGCAGACCTGTGTCTTGTTTTCTATTCCAGATTATACCACTCCTGTTTCTGTAAACAACTTTTTATAGTTTGTTGTGAAAGTATGAAGCTGGATACCTACAGAGAGAAATTTACTTTTTGCCTATGATTTCATGCTTGCTCTTTTCATCAGTGATATTTTCAGTCCAATCAATACATTTAATTTGCTTTTGATTCATGATAGAATTTTCTATAATAGGGACTAAATAAGATCTGTGAGCTTTTAAACATTTCAATACATCATGATTTTATTATTAAATCTATTTTGAAGTCCTATATAGATTCTAAACTAATTGATAATCATTATTGTTAGACACATCAAATTAGCAAGTGGCCTTGATGTGGTCAGACTTAGCAATAAGAGAGTTTGGAAACTTCTGAGAATTTTCTAAACATTTATTAGTGACAGCCGATTCACAGGAGGCACAGGTGAACTTGGAAAAAGCACACGTGTAGCCTGTACTGATCTTCTCATGTGTACTTTCTAACAGTAGTGTTCAGGACTAGCGAGGAAAGGATCCACATAATGAACGCTGCTTTCCCCATTCTGGTGACACTGTAGTATGAGGGAACGTTCAGTTTTCAAGTCTGTTCATTTTTATTTATTTTTATTTTTTTTAAAGATTTTATTTATTTGAGAGAGGGAGATAGAGAGCATGAGAGGGGAGAGGTCAGAGGGAGAAGCAGGCTCCCCGCTGAGCAAAGAGCCCAATGCCGGACTCAGTCCCAGGACCCTGGGATCATGACCGGAGCTGAAGGCAGTCGCTTAACCAACTGAGCCACTCTGGCGTCCTAACTCTGTTCATTTTTAAATCAAAGTTGTCAAGACAAAGGGCACTGTCTCTGGAACCTGGTTGTGGCTTTGATACCAGAACGCTGACTGAACAGAGCCGTTTCTGGAGCTTCTCTGGGTTCTCAGTTGGTCTGTGAAGAGACATTCTTTGGCAAGTTGCCGCAAACTGAACTATGTCTTAAAATTTTTTAATAATAAAGGAAATTTATATCACAACCCACGCCGAAAGTTGAGAGGTCAGCCGACTGTGCCACCCAGGCACCCCAAACATCTACCCTTTATCCACAGAGCTTTTTAGTCTTTTTAATCTAGTTGATACTATACAGGAGGGTTTTCAAAAACCTTTAGAATATACTTTTAGATCTGAATTCTGTTTGAGATGCTAGTTAAGCCTTAAAAAACACGTCTTTGGGACACATGGGTGGCTTAGGGGGTTAAGCCTCTGCCTTCCGCTCAGGTCATGATCCCAGGGTCCTGGGATTGAGCCCCGCATCGGGCTCTCTGCTCAGCGGGGAGCCTGCATCCCCCTCTCCCACTCCCCCTGTTTGTGTTCCCTCTCTCACTGTGTCTCTGTCAAATAAATCAATCTTTAAAAAAACACGCACACACACACACACGTTCTTATGTGTTTGTTTCAAGAATGGTTACTTAAAATTCCTATTTAAAAATTTTTAAATGTAGAGAAATAATACTATTAGTACCATAAAATATTGCAGCACATTAGTATACCCAGAGGGTCAGCACACTCAGCCTGCGCTTTCCCGCAGCCCATCTCTTCCTCGTGGGGTGGAGCTCACGGCCCCGGCTCAGGGCTGTCGAGCTCCGGGACAGCGCCTGGCCTGCTGCCCGCTCGTGCTCACGGGGCCGGAACGGTTCCCACGTACCCCAGTGGGCAGCCTGGTGCCGGAAGTATGCTCTTTGTGGGCTTAATACAGACATTTTCTGAATCATACACGCTCTTTGGTTTATAGCTTGCTTGAATTTGGAAGAAATATGTTGAATGAATATCTGCTTATTCTCACTTATTTTTCCCCATTCCCTTTCCAGGCTTCTCTACAGTTTAGCCTTTAATGCCAGGTTTCTGAGACACCTGTGGTTTCTCATCTCTTCCATGACAACACGGATGATCACAGGGTACGTGTCACGTGGACTTACAAACTGAGCTTATGTACATGGAAAGTGGCAACCTACGTGAAAATATTCTAAGATGGTGTTTTAAAGTACTACTTACTGTATGTAAGAAAAATTCTAGATGGTCTCAATTTCATAAAAAGAAGAAATTAAAGCCCATTTTTATACATGTTTATCCGTATACATTAAAAGTATGGCTTTATCTGATAGTAAATTTGTTTTTAATGCTGTACTCTTTTTTTTTTAATTATTTATTTATTTAATTTATTTGATAGAGATTACAAGTAGGCAGAGAGTCAGGCAGAGAGAGGGGGAAGCAGGCTCCCCGCTGAGCAGAGAGCCCGATGTGGGGCTCGATCCCAGGACCCTGAGATCATGACCTAAGCCAAAGGCAGAGGCTTAACCCACTGAGCCCCCCAGGTGCCCCTGTAATTTGACTTTTCTTATATGAATCATTATGTAACTTGAAGTCTGGAATCTTTAATATACATATTTTAATTGAATGTGTACTAAACAGAGAATTTAATATTCAGATATCCTTTGTGGTGAACTGAGCTAGCCTAGTGCCTCGCTGACTCTGTCCTCTCTCAGGAGTTCAAGGGAACTCCTCTCTGCTGTAATAGGAAAAGAGGAGCGTGACGCTCAGGTCACCAGAGACTGAACTTGGAAAGTGTAGCCGGCTGTACCAGTAACTGCAGTGGCCTGCTGCTGTCCAATGAAGGAAGACACCTGTCAGTTTTAGGGCAAGAGTTGGGAAGGGCGTGTCCTTCAGTCTTTCTCTCTGTCTCCCCCTCCCCCCTTCCTCTCCCCACTCTGTCCCTTCCTCCCTGTCTTTCCTGCCAGGCAGTGGAAGGAATTTCTGGGGTATGAGGTTGGGGTGTCCCAACTGTGAGCACACGCTGACTGGGTCTGCGGCATGTGGTGTCAGATGGGGACGTCAGAAAGGACGCCTGCACTGGGTGCTTTGTCTCAGGTTCACTCCTGTGCAGCGGGAGCCGGGATTCAGGTCACTGACCTACACAAACTCGTAATAAAAGGGAATGTCGGTTTATGAATAGCATCGCTTTGAGAGACGTGCCTGGTTTTCTTCATTTAATGTCCTTGCCTCCAAAGTGAGTAATGACACCCCAGCAGCTGCGGCGCTTGTGAAGGGGAAACGAAGAGGGAGAGGCAGCAGGGATTAGAAAGAGACCTGCAACGCCTTCATGTCCAGAAACATTCTTTTACACCCTTTCATTCTCAAATTAAAATGTAAAGGTTTTGTGTATGTTTTGTTAGTTTTTCTGGTGGTTTTCAGCCACTTATGACCACGCCAGTCTTGGCCTGTGACAGGTTTGTTTAGTGGAAAAGATCAGGGATCATTGGGACAGGAAGTTATCGTTGGCCTCGGAGTGTTTCCACTTAGCAGCGGAGCCCCGCCGCAGCTCCGCCTGATGACTGCCTGATTGTTGATGGCGTTTGTCTCTTGGCGGGGAACTGGAGCCACGGTGTGTGAAAGAAAAATGAGGTGTTATTAGTTACAGTAAACTATCAGAATTACTTTATAAGTTTGTAAAGTTACGCAAAATTTTTAAAGCTCATCATGTCTTAAAAAGCAATTTGAGAATTTGGGTTTCAGCTTACTTGTTTAATTAAAGTCCCTCAAGAAACTTACAATGGGATATATATTAGGATTGTATTACTACCATGTGAGTTTCTTGAGTTTACTCTTGGAATATGATTTAAAAATTGAAATCCCTGATTTTTCTGAAATTGGCATTGAATTAATTTGGAAATCGTTTCCTAACAAGAGTTCCACTGGGATGTGTAAGTTCCAGCGAGCACAGCGGTCATCACAGGAGCGGGAGAAAATGGGGGTTTTCTTGCTAACCCTGCGACGTGCTGGTGGCCTGGGCTGGAAGCCCGGGTTCCTGACCTCCCAGGCTCCGGAGCGACTGAGGCACAGCTGAGGGGCGGGAGCGCGTGGACTCCTGGCTTGTCTTTGCCGTTGGACCTCCCGCCACCGAAGCCCCGCCCGAGCCGGCTCGGGCCTGCTTGTCTTGGGTTCTGTGCAGACTGTTCTCACTGTGAACTGCCCACTTCTTGCCCCACCGACACGAGCAGTGAGTAGTGGTTATGGTGGTCTCAGTAGACTTAGACTTCATGCTCGGCAAGAGCATGCGGCAACGACCTGTGTAGAAGAGACTCCCGTGGGAAGGGCCACAGTGGCCGCAGATGCGGCGCGGGAGCCTTCGGGCAGGGGTGCTGTGTCTGGAGGCGGGGGGTTACCTGCGGTCTTAGGGCTGCTCCCAGGCCGGCCAACTCCCCAGGCTCTCAATCCGTGGCTTTTCCACTACGGTAAATTATGGACTTTTTATTTGCTCATAAGTTTTTGAGTTTGACCTGTGTTCAGAGGAGTATTTGAGTCAGTGTTTATGGCAGAAAGTGTGGCCCGCAGGGAATCAAGAAACATATGCTTCCCTCGTGTCCCTGCTGGAGGAGACCATAGGCGCGCGTCCGGCCCTCCTTGCCAATCACGTGTTCCGTCATTTAAATGAAAACGATTCCTTTCTTTTGTTTACCTCATGGGATAAGCTCGAGTTGAATAATTGCCCTCGTCGTAGGGACTCGAGTGCGAGAGCGCTGCACACGCCGACCCGTATGGGCCCAGCTGCTGGGCGTGCTCGAGTGCCGGGGTGACCGCTGGGGGCTGGCGTGTCACTCTTCTGTAACTTGACCTGCACCGTGTCCCCCCGAATAGCATTCGCTTGTCACAGTCCTCTGTTGTCTGTGTGGTTCTGTGAGGGAACTGAGAGGTGCCGACCATTTCTACCAGTATCAGGGAAACATGACATTAAAGTGGTTTTCCTCTGTCCATCGGCAGTGTATCGTGTGGGGACGCAGTTCCAGACCTGGTGGGGAGTAACTCAGGAGGTGCGGGAGGGCTCCTGCCTGCTCCAGTCTGGTCGGTTCAAAGGGAGCCCCCACACCTCTTTTATCCTAACAGTTAAAGACCCTTTTTCTGTCAGCCTGGCTTTGGCCATGAGGTAGGACGGTTGTACCTTGTCCCTTTTTATGTGTCTTCCCTGCGTTTTTATTTTGGACGGATCGCTTCCGTCAGCCAGTGCCCAGGGCCGGGCTGCACATTCAGGGTCAGGACGCACAGGAAGTCAGTCAGACGACGGTTCTTCTCTGTGACAGCAGAGTTCAGACTGCACATCGGGGCCCCTGTCCTCACGGACCTGTTGGCGCCATTGCTCTCCCCTGAAGTGGGTGGGCCCCGTGGAGCCCTAAAGCTCCGGGTGGCTCAGGCCAGTGCACCGAAGCCCCACGAGAGTGAAAGGACATTTGCCTGGCCTTCACGTCTGCCTTGCTCTCTCACGTAACTCTTGGCAGTGGTGGGCAACCACTTGGTAATTTGTGGATCCTTACTCCTGTCGCATCGCATGTAATACAGATCCGTGGTTTTGTAGAAATAGATATTCGCGGTGTGACGATCAAACAGCAATCTTGCCCACATTTGCTAGCTCAGGACTGATAGGACATGCTGTAGGGGACCGTGGGGCTTTATAGATTGGAAAGAGCTTGCTGGTGAACCTCTGTCACTGAGTGTTCAACAGGACAAGGAACCACATTTCCCCAAGGGGGAGGGGGCACAGGTTCTAGGTGGAGAAGTAAATTTAATAGCTCAGAGCTCTTGACGCATGAAGAGACGACAGGGCTCTCTGAAGATCGCCTTACTTTCGAGCTGCCTAGGATGTGCCAGGACTCCTGGGAAAAGCAGGGGCAGCAGCGAGCTGGTAGATGAGCGCGGCTAACAGGAACAAAGCCCAGTTCGCCTGAGGGGGGGTCTCTGTTCCTGAAGCATTTATCAGGGGTCAACACTCAGCAGTTTTTAACGGTCTGGGTAGGTGTTTCGTGAGAGCAGCACGATACTTTGTTGAATACGTGAAGTAGGGAGGAGGAGGGGTAGTTTGAACCCAGAAAGTAGTGGCGTTACTTACTGTAACCCTCTGTCTGGGGACCACTGGCATCTCAGTAATTGCTTTTGTGCGGTGATCACAGTAGCGGGGATCACAGTAGCGGGGGCAGGAGTCGAGAGTGGTGGCTTGGGGTCCTACTCTCTAGTAGCGGTTTATGAACCAGCATTGTTAGGACTTTACCTTCCCTTGAAGTAGTTCAGTTGCTAATAGGAATGTTATTTTTCCTGCTGATTTTTGTCTGGTGTCATGTCTTAATTCATTCCCAAATTGGAACTAACCTTAAAATCTTTGTTTTGTTCTTGCTGCCGTCTCAAGGTCTATGGTGCCGCTGCTGCAGGTGATCTCCAGGGGCTCCCCCATGTCTTTGGAAGACTCCAGTCGGATCATCCCTCTCTTCTACCTGTTTAGCTCTCTGTTCAGTCACTCACTAATTTCCATACATGACAATGAATTCTTTGGAGATCCCATAGAAGGTGAGAGTTTAGAAGAATCCGTTTTTTGCTGGCTTCTTGGCCTGTCCGTTTTCGTAGGTGATAGAAAAGTTTTAAGTCTCTTAAGTCTTTCATTGTGTTAAGAAATGAGGGGGAAAAAAAAAGCCAAGTATGATAGAACATTAGATTATGTTTTCCGGTTGTAGGTCAGAGACAATCATCAATGATGCCTTTTACTCTGGAAGAGCTGATAGCGCTGTCTCGCTGCCTTCGGGATGCCTGCCTAGGGATCATCAAATTGGCTTACCCAGAAACAAAGCCGGAAGTTCGAGAAGAATATATTACCGCGTTCCAGAGTGTCGGAGTTACAACCAGTTCTGAAATGCAGCAGTGCATACAGATGGAGCAGAAGCGATGGGTTCAGTTGTTTAAGGTAAGCCGTACGTGGGGTTTGTGTTTGTGCGTGTGCTTACTGAGGTCAAGTAATGTACAAATGTCTCCTGACTTGATTCATTTCATAAGAAGTACAGGTTTGTTTTTGGCATAATTTTTAATTTGCAAAACTTTTTAAAATGGAAAGTCATTTTCATTTTACTTTTGCCTTCTTTGAAACCCTTGTTTTTACGTTATTACGTGCGTCTTTTTAAAGTTGCTTTAAGTGCGAGTAACAATGAATTATAAATAAAATTTTTTTTAAAGATTTTATTTTTTTTAAATTTATTTGACAGAGAGAGACACAGCGAGAGAGGGAACACAAGCAGGGGGAGTGGGAGAGGGAGAAGCAGGCCTCCCTCCAAGTAGGGAGCCCAACGCGGAGCTCGATCCCAGGACCCTGGGATCGTGACCTGAGCCGAAGGCAGACGCTTAACAACTGAGCCACCCAGGCGCCCCATAAATAAAATTTTTGAATATTTTCATTTTTCACTAAACGATCTCTTACAGGTTGTATTTCTTTAATCTTTTCAGAAATTGATTAACGAAGGTGGGGAATAAGGTCATTAATGTAATGCAAGTTACATATAAATTATTTTAAAATATCTTCATTTTTAACCATGCAGAAAGAGGAGTTATGAGTGACTGTGGCTGGAACACTGGCGGGAAGTCACCACCGCTGAGAATGTAACGGTGGGGTAGAAAAAAAGAAAAGAAAAAGGGTGCTTGACTTGCCATGAAATTTCTGCAGCAAACACATCTAGTCAGCTAAAATCGCTCATTAAAGGAGTGAGAGCAGAAGAAGTGCATTTTCCAAATTGAATGCTGGATTTACAGTCCGTTTAATATCCGCGACCCCTAGCACACTAATGTGCAGCTCGAGTCATCAGCTGTCCCTGCAGGTCCTTTATCACTGCTTTTGTCAAGCTATCTATTTAATTGAAAGAAGTTAATTGAATGAAAATGATCAACTAAGCTTGTATTAATATTGCTAATGGAACCTTCTTCTTGGCCACGTTTGGAGAAAGATGTCAAGCTGGACTTTAGGAAAGGCCCATTAATGCTTGCACTTAACCTGATGGGCTAATTAAGGACTGCTTGTTCATCCGACGAGTGCACGGTAGTCTCTGTCCAGCCCGTGCTGCCTGATTTTACAACACATTTCACTTATGAGCGAGAGCATTAGTAGCAGTGAGAGTAACTGATAATGTTTTGATTGCACTGAACACAGTCCTAATGCATCATTGAATTTATAATTTGTGCGGATTGATGTAATATATGTTTGCACAATTTATTTTAATTACCTATCCCTATGTTCCCAAGAAAACTTTAAAGGGCACGTGTTGAACCCTTAATTTATCCATTCTTAAAGGTTGACAACTTGGCGACTTTTCTAACTTAAAAATATGCTACCTAACCTATTTCAAACTTAGAATTCTTAGGTACACTTGGCTGGATATGTGTATTATGGTAGCATATGTGTTTTTCTTCAAGTCTCTGGGATCTTTGTTAATAAGGCTTTCCATTATGTAGGATATCAGGTTTTGTGCACAGTGTCAGATAATCTCATTATTTTATAGCACCTATTGAGAATTTCATAATTTTCATATGACAGGCTTCTCTTTAGGACTGAGAAACCTCAGGATTGAATAACGCTACAGAAGGGTGGTGCCTGGGGGGCTCCGTGGGGTAGGCCTCTGCCTTCGGCTCAGGTCGTGATCTCAGGGTCCTGGGATCGAGCCCCGTGTCGGGCTCTCTGCTCAGCCGGGAGCCTGCTTCCTCCTCTCTCTCTGCCTGCCTCTCTGCCTGCTTGTGATCTCTGTCTCTGTCAAATAAATAAATAAAATAAAATAAAAATAATACTATAGAAGATACTTTTCCTGGGCCCTGCTTTATTTTGCTTCAACATTAAACGAAAATTTTATAGTGAATTTTTTCTTATGCCTCAAAATGACTCATTACCACTTGATTAAGGATTAAAGGTTTTAGGAATTAAGGAGAAGTTCTACTTTTTTGGTAAGGGATTGTTTTAGGTTTGAAATTGAGTTGTTACAAAGACCTTCTGAGTTCAGGACAGAATTGTTTGAAGACAGTTTTTTGAACAGAATTTCTATTCTTTGAGGGGTAAAAAACAAAGTTATACACATGCTGGTAAGCTGAGCCAAAAAAATAATGAAAAATCAAGGCATACTCTTTGCGTTGCAGAGAAGGGCTCAGCTGCTACTGGTTTTTCTTTTAAGAAAAAATTATCTTTAATGGGAGATAAAAAGAATCCCCTCCGTGGCTCCTGTGTCCCAGACACTATCGTAAGAGCGTTACGTAGACTGAGTCAGTGAACACAAGTCACTCCATGGCTGGGGCGGTTAGGGCCTTTCCTTGAACTCTGCTGCTCTGCACCCCGTTCCGAAAAGTACTAGAATAGAATGTTAGATTTTTTTGTGTGTTTTCGTGCCAAATTTGAGTTGAAAAATTCAAGTTAGAATCAACCAGAGAAGGTAACAGCATTTTGCCAACGGTTTCCAGCCTTCTGCTGGTTTTGACAGAATTGCAGATGATGGGGCCTGACTCCTTCAACCACCAACATTTTCATTTCTCAGTCTTACGATGGTCCTTTCAGACTAATTTCTGTGAGAGGCTCTGTTCACTGGTCACAGAACATAGAATTTTAAGTGCATAGAGTCATCTTTCTTTGTCGTGATGAGAATTGAGGTCAGCTGCTGAGCCCTGCAGTGGTACTGCTAAACCAGTTTACGCGTTTATCAAATTTATAAACTCCTCTTGACGTGCAGTTTATAGCTGTGGTTCCTTTAGCCCCATGAGGAGGTAGGAAGTCCTGTTTGCCATGCCTTTGTGTGCAGCTCTGTGCCAGCAGGTCACCTGCGAGGAGGAAGGTGTGTCGGGCAGCAGGAACGAGGTGCCTCACGCCTTTCTCATCCGTGCACGTCTGTACGGAGGGAGAGAAGCCTGTGTTGTGAGCGGTGTTCGCTTTCTCAGTGGCTGATTGCATGTTTCAGTTCCAGAAAGAATTTTTTTTTTTTAAGTGAGAATTAAAACAACAGCCACGCCATAACATAACACTCGCATGCCATCATTATAGTTTTCCCTGTTTGGTGAAACCATGCACCTGTGTTCTCATAGCACCCTTTCCCACCTTTGGGGGTTTTTGTTTTGTTTCTGACTACCAAATAGAATGGGTACTTTAAGAAATAATTTTGTAGTGTTTCAAACATCCTGGAGAATCCTGTTGTCTTTACAAATACAGCAGTGTTCAGGAGTAGTAACGGAGGGCTTTATAGAACTTGGTTCACCTTCGACCTGGGTCGTCCGTATGGGACGCGTCATGGCCTCTGCGGAGGGGACACCGCTCTCACCAGTTCCTCTAACTCGCAGGCTTTACCCCGAGAACGCGGACTCCGCCCCCCTCTGGGGAATCGTGAGTGGTGGTTGGCCTGGCGCTTGCTCTCTCAGCATTTCTACATGGTGAAAAAGCCACATGTTCAGCTAATCACATTGAGATAAACGAGATCAGTACCATGAGAGAACGTAGGATGGAGAAATGATGCTGAGGTTACTCTAAACTTTTCCTCTAGGAGAACGGCCATTCTGGTCTGCAAGACGGTGTTCCTGGAACTGGTCTTCACTGGTGTTTCTCGTACTTTGTTTCTACATGTGTCCGTTATGAACTCAGATTAGTGGAAAATTCTTACAGGATATACGTTTACCGCATTGTACTTTCATCACACTCAAGTACCCGCAGATCGTGTGCTGTCTATATCCTGTACTTTGTATTGAACTTCTTGAAGAATTACCCAAAGGGCACCTGGGTGGCTCGGGTCATGATCCCAGGGTCCTGGGATCGAGCCCCACATCGGGCTCTCTGATCAGCGGGGAGCCTGCTTCCCCCTCTCTCTCTGCCTGCCTCTCTGTCTACTTGTGATCTCTCTCTCTGTGCCAATAAGTAAATAAATCTTAAAAAAAAAAAATTACCCAAGATGTTTGATTTTACTTATCAGATTTTACATAGAAGATTTCAGATAAAAAGAGATTATTCTTTTATGTTAAATGTAATTTAGTCTTGCAGTTGCCTTTCACAATTTGGACTATATGTACTTTTTTTGGGTTACAGTAATTTAACTGAATGTCAAGAATCTCCATTCAGAAATGTCAGACTTTACCCTCCGCGGCCTTCAGCCAGCTGACGTGCATATAGTGCTCAGTATGTGTGTGACGCAGCATGTAGTCCCCAGGATTCCGTGTGGCCGTCGTAGCTGGTGCGCTCTGAAACGTACGGGGTGCTGTGGGCGAGGCAGTGCCTGTTAATTTGCTGTCTTTCTCTGGGACAGCTGTCAAGGGTGGCTTTTAGGAGCATCTCTGTGTTTCTAAGCAGTCACCGACTTGATCTTTTTAACATTGGGTTCAGGGAACCTGTTCACGTGTATCACCTATTCTTAATTCAGGTGTAGATAATAGAGTGTGTATAGCAATTGTGTGTGTTTCTGAATGTTTACTTAAATAATTTTTAGAGTTACTGAGCATGTGTATAATCCTTAAGGTTTCGATCTGGCATGGGAGAACATGATGTGGGGGACAAGAGTTAAACCCCAAACAAATGCAGTGTGTCCTACTTACAGCTGTTGGGGTCTGCCGGAACTGTACTGAGCCGGCACTCCGAGGTAGCCCAGCGTTTGCTTAGTGATGGCTTTATCTTGCCTCACGTCTGAACCCGCTGGTTCTCGAGTCCAACTGCTCGTGTAGCCGGGGCTCCGGGGAGCAGTTACAAACGGTTGACTGGCTTCCCCCCAGATGAACTGAACTGGCTGTTGGGGCCTCTGCTCGGGCCTTCACCAGCAGGAGAGCTCAGTGTGCGGCGCTGAAGAACCACAGGCCTCAGGGCGCCAAGGGTCACTTTGGGCCGATATGTATGACCTTGGGCCTCAGTTTGCGAAGTTGGGCTTAGCCATGACTTAGGTCCTGTTTAAATCTAAAATTTCTTCAGTTTGGGATAGTCTTCTGTCGTAGGCATATTTGTGCCAGAAAATTGAATAAAACTGACTGGAGACATGCCTCGGATCTCAACACTGGCTGTCTGTTGACCAGTTCAGAATCGTGACCCCCGTCTTCCTGACCTTCTGCGCTCGTCAGTCTGCTTCCATGATTTTAGCGCCCCCTCCATATTCTTTCCCCCTCGGTACTAAGTGTTTGGGTGGCAGTTGAGTGTGTGATCCTGAAGGTGGGTGCGGAGAAAGGGGACATGGTCACAGGTGTTTTGGCATCACAAATAGACTCAAATTTTCATGGTTTCTTAAAATTTGTATTTTTCTTATGACTTAGAAGATAATTGGTTTATTATTTTAGTTTTTAAAGATTTTGTTTATTCGACAGAGAGAGAGCGTGCGCAAGTGTACAAGCAGGGGGAGCAGCAGGCAGAGAGAGAGGGAGAAGCAGCTTCCTGCTGAGCAGGGAGCCCGATGCGGGGCTCAATCCCAGGACCCTGGGATCCCGACCTGAGTGAGCCGAAGGCAGTCACTTAATGACTGAGCCCCCCAGGTGCCCAGAAGAGAGCTAGTCTAAATGAAGGAGGAAAGTGTTTCTAGTTGAATCTAAGACATGGGATTTGACATTTCTAAAAAGGTTTTTTGGGAATTGGTCCAGGGTTAGTATTGCCAGATTTAGCAAGTAAAAATGTGTCATCCACTTAAATTTTAATTTCATATAAATAACAAAGGCTTTTTTTGATAAAAATATGTCCTATGCAGTATTTTGGATCTGTTTACATTTTTTGAAAACGTGGTATGTATCTGGAAGTACGTTTATACTAAAAAATTATTTTGTATTTATTGAAAGTTAAAATTGAGTGAGGTATCCTTTATTTCCTCTGGTGATCCTGTCTGGGACTCATTTTCAAGGTTGGTTTGCTGCCAAGTGTAACTTGAGACTTGCTTTGTCACAGTGACTCTGTGCGGACGGCATCCTCGACACACTTCCTGAGGCCCATCACTTTATGCCTCGCACTATTCCTCCCTGTCTCTCTCTCTCTCTTCTTTTTAAAGAGGGTCACTGATACCAGGGCGTTGGTAAGTAATACGTGATACTTCCTTCTTTATGCTTAGAATGTGAGAGTAAGAAAGGGGGTGCCCTATATTGAAACTTTTTAGTGTTTAATTTCACAGTAATTTAAAAGAAGAAAGTAAGTTATAGCATTCATTCCTTCATCGGTAGTTTAATATTTGTGACCTGTGGAGAGTAAATGACCTCGGAACCAGAGGTTGGGAGATGACTACCAGGAGGCAGATGAAAGGTTTTATTCTGGAGTTAGGCAGCCCTGGCTCTGCCCCTTGGCAAGCCTTGGAGCAAGTCTCTTAACTTCAGCAAAGCTGAGTGTCCTCCGCTGTGTGGTGGGGAAGGTCGTCCACGAGGGTGTCAACATCCAGGGCACAGTGTGCGCAAGCTGTAAGTGAACAGGGGCCGCTAAGTCAATATGCTTGTATATTGGTCAGAAAACATGTCTTTTGCTAACAGTTGTGTATTATGTGTGAATTTCAGCCCAGTGTCTGTTCAGTCTGAACATCTTTAAAATGCTAATATAGGTGGTTACGAATCTTCACACAAGATGATGGTGCTTCCATCTCTGCTGTTGGAAGAGCACATGTTTACACGGTGGGCTCCGTGGGCTCTGTGGGCTCCGTGGGCTCCGTGGGCTCCGACCTGGCCCCGTCCCAGACAGGACTGCACGTGCAGTGGAACTCACTGACGCCCGCTTTGTTCTTTAGGGGAGCGAAACCTAGAGACTTGAGAGATTGAAGTGCAGTAGGTCAGTGAGCACGCTCTGTCATGACCGTGGCATTGGCCAGACAGAGCCCCAGGCTCGGCTGTTCCTCTGATGCAGCTGCAGTTGGAGGAGTCGTCGTAAGCCCGGAAGCCCCTGGCGAGCACAGCAGTCCGGAGTCGCGGGTGACCACCTGCGGTTCACTAACCGGAGCTCGTTTCTGCCGATTCAGAAAGGATATTACTGTAGTGTTCGGGACAGGCTTCCAGGTGCCACAGGGTAAATGTCACCGCTAACTTGGTGAGAAACAGCCCTCCGTCCAGAAGCGGTACCCAGACCTGGACACGTTCGTACTGACGTCGTTCCGTCTGAATTGGGCGTTACTGTTTCCTCTGTCCCCGGGCTTCTCGTCCAAGTTGGGGGTCCACATTCTAGTGGTCTGAGGTGCCAGCCAAGGGTCCTTTCTCACCCATTGTGTTGGATACGGAATTTTTTGGTGTCCCTGAATACCAGGGTTCACATGTCGTAAAAGAAGCATCTGTATTTCTATCGTATAGGGATGCCGAATTGTGGAATTTTAATGGGAAATCTCCGTTAACAATTGAAATTAGGCAATCTTGTTTGTCTTGGGGGTATATTTGGAAATTTACCGTGTTATCCTTGTTTTAGTCCTTACCCAAGTTATATTTTATCCTAATTCCGCACCCGGGTTATATTTTACTTGGCTAGAGGCGGTGCGCATAGAGGCCTGGCTGACTTTTTCAGAAAATATTCTCATGGTCTTACTTCAGCTACTTAGTAGTTGTGTGATCAAATCCCATTTGTAAAGGTTTAAGGCTTTGGATTTACAGATTTATATTGGTTTATCTCGGTTCATTACAACGTACATTTGTATTTAATATGAAATATCAGGTCTTTTTTATTATTTAAGTTGTTTTTTAAAGATTTTAATTATTTTGAGAGACTGAGCAGGTGCCTGCATGGGGGGACAAGGGGAGAGAGGGAATTCCCAGCAGACCCCACCCTGAGCGCAGAGCCCACCGCGGGCTCGATCCCAGGACCCTGAGACTGTGACCTGAGCTGGAATCCAGAGTTGGAGACCCCATCATCGGGTCTTTTTTAAATAGGTGGTGCCGGCAGTTCGTCACCATTTCTAAATTGCGATTTGTTTTTGATGCCAGGTCAATGCTCGAATGCCTCGTGGCTTTCCAGGAAGGTAGCTGGGACTGTCTCCCTTGGGGGCCTCCTGCGGACCCGGGGAGGGACCGGTGCTCACTGCAGGGGCATAACGAGCGCCTGAGCTGTGTGGGTGCAGGGACGCTCCATGACAGGGTGGACCGGGTCTGTGTGCAAGTACGGCCCAACCCCAGACACTTACATGAGGGAAGTCCTGGAATTGTTTTTCGTGTTTTGACAGCTGTCAGAGGGCCTTCCAGGACACTTCTTCCCCTCAGTGTTCTTGATAGTGTCTTTTCAGGAAAATACGAAATGATCTTGCTGTGGGGCAGACTTCCACGAAATTGCTGGAGACTTGGAGATTTCTTGCTATTTGTAGCTCAGATGAGCTAATACATGTCCAAATTTGTATTTGAAAACTTCATTACGACCTCCTCTGTAGTCTGCCTTTAACATATTCCCGATAATTTTCCTCCCTTCGTTAGCACATCACTCCCTGCTTTGTACCTAAAGTTTGTTCCTGCGGTCGCAGGACGGGGTGCGTCTCTGCGGCCTGGCTGTCCTGACTGTCCTGCGGGGTCGGCCTGAGCTTCTTCATGTGACTTTGCCGTCTGTTCCCTCTGCAGGTGATCACCAATCTGGTGAAAATGCTGAAGTCCAGAGACGCGAGGAGAAATTTCTGCCCTCCGCACCACTGGCTGTCGGAGCAAGAAGACATCAAAGCGGATAAGGTTCGCTGACAGACCCTCCGGTGTTTCTCTGAAAAAGCTTTTGTCTTTCTGGGGACGAGGATAAATTCTTTTAAATTGTTTCACTTATTACTTACTATGTAACTAAATAGTAACAGTAAGCTTTTTTATTATCAACTCTTCGGTCATAGAATATATAGCAGTGTCATTGACTTAAAGATGTGTCCTGAGTTCATTGTTAAACCTAATTTTCTCCTTCAACCGCAAATTATATTGGAGCCCAGTGGTTCTTTGTTGGGATTGCAAGAGGTTTTGCTTTTATTGGTGTTATAATTGTCAATGTGTATTTAATAGCCCTTAAAGGAGAAGGGGCACGTCCTTGACTTTCTAAAGGAACAGAAACAAATTTGAATATTACTTAGATCTAGACCTGAAGTAGATTCAATAGCATAAATATTTTTAGAAATTTAACAAAGGTCACGAACTATCTGAATTTTCATTCTTACTTGTCAGAAAAGGGCGTGATTGTATTCATTTCAGGGTCTTGGGGATGAGGGCAGAGAGTAGAGGGTCTAGAAGAAACAAGACCGTGAAAACGTTTAAGGAAAGAAAGCAGTGGTTTTACACCAGTTTCATACTGGGTGTGCACAAGTCTTTAGCGATGTGGCTTCTAGCTGTGCCTGGTGCTCAGGCCGAGAAACCTTGCCCGATCCTGTGGCAGTGGATGTCCCGTAGCAAGACCCCGGGATGGGGAGGCTCTGAGCAGCACTCAGCACCCAGAGGAGACAGCCGGGGCCTCCTGTCACTGGGCAGCGTGGGAGCCACAGGAGGCTGCAGCCCTCCACCCTGGGTGCGGCCAACTGAACCACAAACAGGCTTGAATTCCCCAGTTCCTGAATCCGCAGAAAGGAAGAACTTGATCGGCCGTGTTATGGGCCGCAGAGGAACCGCGTCACTGCTTGAGACTGGTTGGGCAGAAAGAACTAGTCATGCCCTGAGCCTGCCTGGCCTTTATGGCCTTCGTGTACCTCAGGCCAAATGAGTGGTGGTGATGGGGGAGCCTTCTTGGGGTAGAAGTAGTTAATAGTGCGTGAACCAGGGGCCCATGGTCTGCAGGCTGTGGTGAGTACACAGCGGGGCAGTGCCCTTGGGGTGCAGCCCCCCAGGGACCTGCCCAGACTGGGCTGGAGGCCCATGGATGGGGGTCCTGGGCCCGAATGTCCGCCACTGTGCTGCTGCTTGACCCCAGAAGGGCTCAGCTGTGGAAAACATTCCCGAGGGACCAGACTGTGTCTCCTGGTGTAATTGATTGCTGTCCTGGCACAAGTTCTCGGTCTCATCGCTGACCAGCAGCAGCCGGCCACAGGCCTCGTGCGGGCGCACGCTGCCGTGCGGTGTTCTGGCCAGAGTCAGACCTGGGTGCAGTGAAACCTCAAGAAGGAACCGCACGTTTGTAGGGAAACGCAGGGCCTGGAAGCCGCGTTAACACCGAGGGGACGCAGCTGGCGAAACCCCGGGGTGGGGAACATGGCCAGACAGCTGACTGGGGCCGCAGGCAGGGCTGAGGGAGCAGCCAGAGCCCCAGAGCTTACCAGAATGTCTACGGACCCGGCCTTACTGGGGTGCCGACACAAACCGGGTGCTTAGAACTATGGGACACTGAATATTTGGTGATAAGAAATTGTTAATTCTTTAAGTGTAGCGTGTTTTCACCTGTAAGGTGATCATCAGGATAGGTTACTAGATGCGGATATTGCACGAACGCTATGCATCAACGAGAGCGAGGAGAGACTCCCTTGGGGTGCGTTAGGGAAAACACTTATGGTACGAGTGTAAACGGGCAGCTGACCAAGGAGGGAGTGATGGAAAGGACCTGAGGTCGAAGCTCAGGACCTGGCTGGTGTGACAGGCACGCACAGCATCCTGTGCTTCCCATGTGGCTGGTGAGGGCTTGTGCTGGGGCGCGGACATGTACTAAGCCAGTTGCTGGCCCCACAGGTCACCCAGCTCTATGTCCCGGCTTCCCGACACGTGTGGAGGTTCCGGCGGATGGGGAGAATTGGCCCCCTGCAGTCGAGCCTGGATGGTGAGTTCTCTGTGGCCTGGAAGGTTTCTCCTTCAGCCCAGGGTCATGGGCTCTCGTTCACATACTGGGAAATCCTTTCTTTTTGGTGTACTGTTCTGAGATTTCTTTTGAACTGTTTTTAGTGGGGGAAGGGCAGAGGGGGAGAGAGAGAATCTTAAGCAGGCTCCACGCGGAGCACGGAGCCCGACAGAGGGGTCCCTCCCGCAATCCTGTGTCATGACCTGAACCGAAATCAAGATTCGGAGACGCCCCTGGTGTTCTATGATTTTGGATAAATGTCTCTGTGATCAACCATCTGGAAAAGACTGATTGCTCCAGAAATTATCTCATGTGCCTTTGGAGGTGACCCCTTTGCCCAGCCAGAGCGTCTGGCAACCACTGACTTGCTTTTGTCCTGATAGCTTTGCCTTTTCCAGCATGGCTTTAAATGGAACCATGTGGTGTGTAGCCTCGTGAGTCTGGAAAGGAAAAGTCCAGGCGTCCGTCTGAGACAGGCCGGCTTGACTCCAGACCACTGCAATAAAGTGAACGAGTCAGACGAAGTTTTTGGTTTTCTAGAGCATGTAAAAGTCAAGTATGCAGGGGCGCCTCGGTGGCTCAGTCCATTAAGCCTCTGACTCTTGATCTCAGCTTGGGTCTTGATCTCAGGTCGTGGGTTCAGGCCCCGCCTGGGGCTCTGTGCTGGGTGTGGAGCCTACTTTAAAAAAGAATGTTAAGTACGTAATAGCATCGCATCTAAAAAACACCACACGTACCTTCCTTCAGAGCACTTTCAGCCAGGAGATGGCAGCTGTCATCTGAGTACTCAGTGACCGGTAATCACCGACCACAGATCCCATAACAAACAGAAGTATGAGGAAGTGTGAAATACTGCGAGAGTTACCTGAGTGGGACACAGAGATATGAAGTGAGCAAGTGCTCTTGGCACGCGACGGACGCGGGGTCACCGCGGGCCTTCTGTCCGTACAACTCCGTGCCGGCAGAGTGCGGCGACGTGCGGTCGCGTGTGTACAGAGCCTGACAGAGGTGTCCCCATGTGTTGCAGTGGGTTTGGAGTCCCTGCCTCTGTCTGTGTCGGAGGAGCGACAGCTGGCCATCCTGACTGAGCTGCCCTTCGTGGTTCCGTTCGAGGAGCGGGTCAAGGTGCGCACCGTGGTTCCTCCGTCGTTTCAGTGCAAACCAACACCAGCGAGGAAAGCTCGGCGTGGCTTAGTGGCTCGCTGGTCATGTCATCGCTGTTTTTCTCACGAGATTGCAGTCGCTGATGGTGACGTATAAGAGCGTGGTCCGACCAGATGCCTCTGTATAGACTTGACAGATTCCTTTCCCTTAGCTGTAACTAGTTTAAAGGCCTGTCACGCCGTTGTCTTCTTATAATGGGGGGAGAAGGTCCTTTTGTCTAGTAAATTTTGCATTGTTTTTAAAAATGCACATTTTTTTATAAGATATGCTGTGTTCTGTCTGCTGGGTCGTTTTTCACCAGCACAGCCTCACAGAAGAGAGGGGAGCAGGAGTCTGGCGATTTCTGACCAGTGTGCAAAGCATTGCTTACGTGCACCTGTTCTGAGATTTAACATGTTTTGTTCGTTGTATTCATCAACTTTGCAACTTTCTAAAAACTACTAGGGTACTCGTAAGTATCGGCTTCGGGAGGGTTATTTTAGTCCCGCCCGCTCCGTTTGTAGGATGAGCAGGAGGAGTGTGTTTGAAGGCTGCTGGTGCTGCTTCACCAAGACGCTTGCGCCGCGTGGCTCCCTCTGCTGGCGGGTAGGGACGCGGCCGGACCCATAGGAGTCCACAGCTTCACGGAGCTAGTCTCTCCTCTCCCCGCTGCGTTTTTCTGGAGGGTTCGCAGAAGAGAATAGTGAACGTATACTATAGCAGGGGAGTCTTCAATTACATAAAAGGGAGGAAAAGAGCAATGTTACAAATACGAAAATATTGCACATTTACCGAGAAGGCATAAAGTCCATATTTGATATCTTGGCTTTTAAAATTTGCTTCAGAATTTATGGAGATAGAAAAGTTAAGATTTATTTAACAAATTTTCCTCTTGCTGCTTGTGTTTATAACAAAAAGTCTGCTGCTTACATAACCTGACAGCTCCCCTGTTTCTCAGATCTTTCAAAGGTTGATTTACGCAGATAAGCAAGAAGTTCAAGGAGACGGTCCATTTCTGGATGGGATTAATGTCACGATCAGAAGAAATTACATTTACGAGGACGCGTATGACAAACTTTCCCCAGAAAATGGTACTTGCAACTCTGTCTGTGTGTGTGTGCGGCGGGGGAGGCGAGGGGTCATTTAGGAAAAGGTAATCATTGGGCGCCTGGGTGGCTCAGTCGTTAAGCGTCTGCCTTGGGCTCAGGTCATGACCCCAGGGTCCTGGGATCGAGCCCATATCGGGCTCCCTGCTCAGCGGGGAGCCTGCTGCTCCTCGGGCTTGTTCTCTCTCTTGCTCTCTCTCTCTCTCTGTCGAATAAATGAGTAAAATCTTTTTTAGAAGGAAGAAAAGAGAAAGGTAATCATTACAACATCAGTGTTCGTCATCTTGTTCTGCACTGACTTTTTCACAGTGAAATGGGCTATGTCAGACCCGGTAGGCGCATATTATCGAATAACACTGACGATTACCACAACAGGAGCCTTTCAAATACTGGTTTTTTTTTTTTTTAAAGCAAGAAACTTCACCCATGAATGTCTGTGTCTAAAGTTCAGTTGACAATTTACATCTGAAACTGTTGATGGGCAGCCGTCGACATCCCGTACTCCATAGGGAAGCCTACTTCTGTGTTGTGATCTCTGAGCCACACTTAACGGAGCAGAAGAAACCGCACCGCAGTGCAGACCCCTCTGCGACGGGCGCGTGCGTGGGTGGCAGGAGGCCGTCGTGCGGAGATTGTGATGCAGGCTGCACTTAGAGCTCAGCGACACGCTTGACCTCACATGAATATTGGACACCCAGTGTGAAACTTGTAGCGTTATCATTTCTATATGAATGCTTTTAGCTTCAGAATATGGTGTCCGTGATACTGGGTGAAGTCGGGGCTCCGTCGGTGCAGGGAAGGAACGGTGGACGCGTGGTGGGGTCTGGGCGCAGCTGTAGGAGACAATGAGACGGTGTCAGAAGTGAAGGAACAGTTGCCTATTCTAGGGGAGCAGAACCTCATGTCCTTTTTTCCTTCAAGAGGGAATTGTGTTACGCTGCGGGAATAATGGGGCGAGCAGCAGTCGCTGGCCCCGTCTGTTCCAGGGTCAGTGTGCGAGGATTTGATGCTCACGTGCTGTGGGTTTCTCGTGTAACCTGTGCAGCAGCCCCAAAGCTGCACCCCACCGGCCCAGTCCTGAGCCCGGGCTGTGCGGCCCCCACGGCACCAGCGCACTCTTGCCCAGCACATTACGTCTCTGAGTTTTCTGCGTGAACGAGGGGGAAGTCTGGCGCTCTGACTTCGAGCCCAGCATACTTTTGAAAACAGACGGGGCCTCCATCTGTGGGGATCCAGTCCCTGCAGATCGGCTGTTGTCGCTGTTCCGTTGTGTCTCCCGCTGGCCAGGCTCTGCACGCTGCGGGACCGCGTCCTCGACCCTTGCTCCTCTCAGCCAGCTGCTGCTCAGTAGATGCTGGCTTTGCAATGGAACCTTGCGGGGGCTCCATCGACAGACAAGATGGTAAGCGTGCCATCGGCCGGGAGTGTTGAGGGTGGGACTGAGGCGTGGCTGATGCCGGACGGGTTCAGAAAGCTGTGGGGCTTCCGAGAGGGGAGGCAGGCGAGGGGCAGTGCTGGCTGCGCTGTTGCTGCGCACGCTCGGGGCAGGCCGCCCCCCGCGCTGGAGCTGGGGCGAGCCCCGGCCAACAGGAACAGGTGTGTGTTTCAGCGACTTTAAATTAACTTGAACCCCGATTGACGTAGATGATGTTTAAAGACATTACTGTCCGATTATATATAATAAGCCCCAGATTTCCCAATGAATGCTGAAGCGTAAAGTGATTCAGAATTTGGTCGCCCCGTAACTGCCCAGGTGCGCGCTGATAGCTGCACCGAGTTGAAGGCGTTTGGAGAAACCTCCTAACCCTACGTCCTGATGCTTTACGCCTCAGCCCGCGTTCTCGAAGTCAGGCCTTAGGAACGCGACGTATTTAAATTATGTGTTAAAATTGGCATTTTGCTAGGGAGAATAGTAAAGTTAAACATCGTCTCAGTATTACTTCTGGGAAATTGGGGTGAGGTGCCATACTGCCTGATCGTTTGCACAGAAGCAGTCACTACGACGGCCCCGCCTACCGTCTTGCCCTCACAGCACGTCCATCCTTTATAGGCTCTGACCACCTCGTGTGCGTGTCTTCTCAGCACGGTTTTCTTCCACTCTCTCTCTTAAAGATGTTATTTGTGTCGTCTCCACACCCAGTGTGGGGCTTGAACTCGCTCCCCCGAGACTGAGCCAGCCGCTGCCCCTCAGGCCTGTTTTCTGCAGTATGGGTGTCCGCCCCGAGCACGATGGAGCCGGCTGCGGGAGCTCAGAGACGCGGAGCCATTTCTCTTCTTAGTGGGGAGCCCAGAAGGTGCCGGTGCGCAGGTCCCAGCCCACCGCGCGCTCCCATCGCCCCCAGTGCCCAGCCACGGAGAATGGTCGCGGCGGCCCTCAGGACTGCTGTCGCTCTTGGTATCATCGCCCGTGAGCTCGGACGAGACTCTGCCAGAGCTGGCCCTGAGCCGTCCTGTAGTCGCTTCCCGACAGCTTCGCCCGTCTGCGCTTTTGAGTGGGAGCTGGTTTCACTTTGTTACATCGTTTTCCTGAAGAAGAAACTATGACAGGGTCAAATCAAATAACATTTTACTTAGGGGTTTTTCCCTCCCATTGAAACCTTCATGTATAAGTACATATTAAATTGTGCTTGGAAACAAATAGTGGCAAGATATCTCAGGCGAGGTTTGCTTCTGGAAATGTCCGTGCTGTTACATGTGACTGTTCTCACAAATGAGCTCCAGGGAACACAGAACCTCAGTTCCAGCCAAATCAGAGGGGGGACTTCTGTGATTGGCCGCTGCGTCTGCAAAGACGACACCCTCCCACCCCCCATACTGGTGCCACAGGTGGGATGAGTGTGGGAGAGCCTGGGCCGTAGCTGAGTGTCCCACTTACAACATTTGTACACTTAGAGTTTTTACAAAATCTGCTGCTGCCTGCTGGCGGTGTGAGAAATATCACATATGACAACAGAGGCTTCTGGCTCCCCCATAAAACCGAGTGTTAAGAAGAATGTGTACAGCTGAGACGTCCCCGACTGCGTTTTTGTGTTACGCCTCCAGTCATCCCCTTAGCTTTCTTTGGCATCTTACCTGGGCCATGAGGTTGAACGTATGTTGTCATCCTCCTAATCAGAATTCGTGCGGATAACGTGCTCAGGAGTCTGGCCGGTAAAAAGCATGTTCTTCCTGTAGCCATAGTTAAATTTTAAACATAGAGGGGAATATGGTATAGCATAAAAGCCTGTGCTTTGTAGGCAGTAAACCTGTCTTTAAATTATAGCCCTTTACAGCATTAGCTGTGTCTTTACATACATAACTCGACCTTCCTTGTACTTGGTTTTCTTACTGCAGAATGAGGATAATTTTTTTTTCCCTCAAGTTATTGTTTAAGTTCTCGTTTGTTAGCGAACAGTGCAGTGCTGGTGTCTGCTTCAGGGATTCATCACTTCTGTGCGACACCCAGTGCTCATCCCAACAGAAGCCCTCCTTAATGCCCGCACCCTTTTAGCCCATCCAGAATGGGGATAATTCTTAACCCAGCAGGTTGCTGAAGGACTTAAAGTAATGTGTGTAAAATTCTAGCGTCAGTTCTAGCTCGGGGTGAACAGTGGGTGGTCGTTACTCCTTACAAAGGACAAAAGCAAGCCGTCGAGATGGCTTCGGTCAGCCTGCCTCGCGTACTCCCGAGGGAGGTGCGGGCGTGAGCACCGAACTCGCCCGGCGCGGCTTCTGCCGGCTCCTTGGAGCACGAAGTCTTTGCTGCCAGGCATGGTGGGAGATCTTCGTCCGTACGGTAAATCGCCGTGACCCTGTCTGAGCCACGTTCTAGAATAGTCACAGCTGGGTTCCGGGACTCCAGGAGCACTAACACTCGCCCACTGCCGTGTTCGGGCAGACCCGGGCCCAGCCGCTCTGCACCCCTGCCCCTCGTGCCCACAGCCCCCGCCTCTGCCCCTCCCCGCCTGCTGAGATGCAGAGCGCCCACGGGACGGGAGGCGAGGGACAGGGACGAGGACGCGCAGGTTACTTTCTGAAACCTGCAGCTTGACTAAGCCTGTCCAGTGCTGACCACCTGGTTTGGATCCAGCAGAACGCCCTCCCTTCCGGTGGCTTGTGTCTGGGGTCTGCGTCCTCAGGCTCTTGTGGCACATTGTAGGCAAGTCCAGCAGTCCTGGGGAGGACCTGCCCGGACGTTCTCTTAAGACACCAGCCATGATTAAGCAACTTCACAAATTTGTTTTGTTTTTCTTTGTGACACACTGTAACTGAGCAGACTTCCACACTTCTCAGCCCAATGACACTGGTACGTGAAAATGTAGACTCTGGGCTCTGACTCCTGTTTCGCCCACCTCTTTCAGAGACTCTGTGCTGTTATCCTTTATTCGTTTATCTTTTGCCTTTCTTGGTAATAATTTCTGTTCCCCTAGTATTTTTCTTTTTCTTTTATTAAAATAGAATGTATTATTTGTTTCAGGGGTACAGGTCTGTGGTTCATCAGCCTTACACAACAGCCAGCACTCCCCACAATACACACGCTCCCCAGTGTCCATCACCCAGCCCCCCACCCTCCCACCCCCTCCACTCCAGCAACACTCAGTTTGTTTCCTGAGACTAAGAGTCTCCTCTGATTTGCCTCCCTCTCTGGTTTCATCTTGTTTCATTTTTCCCTCCCTTCCTATGATCCTCTGTCTTGTTTCTCAAATTCCTCTTATCAGAGATATCATATAATTGTTTTTCTCTGATTGACTTACTTTGCTTAGCATGATACCCTCTAGTTCCATCCACGTCATCGCAAATGACAAGGTTTCGGGGGGAGGTTGATGGCTGCAGAGTATTCCATTGTGTATACATACACGTCGTCTTTATGTGTTCATCTGTCGATGGGCATCTCGGCTCTTTCCGCAGTTTGGCTATAGTGGACGTTGCTGCTAAGAACACTGGGGTGCACGTGCCCCTTCGGATCCCTGCATCTGTGTCTCTGTCCCTTGTACTCTTATGTGCTCAATCCCCTCTGCCCTCTCCTCATACTGTAGACTATTTTAGAACGTGTCATAGCCTTTAGACTGTGAGGGATAACTTAATTCCATCCTGGGCACTCTGTTTCTCCCCATCTCCATGCGTAATACGTGAACGTCTTCTCTCTTTCTCCCATTGTCGGCTTTGGGGGACATACAGGTCCAGCTAGCCCATCATCTGTGTGTGTGTGTTTTAAGATTTTATTTATTTATTTGACAGACAGAGATCACAAGGAGGCAGAGAGGCAGGCAGAGAGGGAGGGGGAAGCAGGCTCCCTGTTGAGCAGAGAGCCCGATGCGGGGCTCGATCCCAGGACCCTGAGATCATGACCTGAGCCGAAGACAGAGGCTGAACCCACTGAGCCCCCAGGCGGCCCATCATCTGTTTTTAATCTTTGGTTGTTTTGTTTTATTTTGTTTTGTTTTTGGAGTCCTGCACTAATATATCTTTAATATTCTTGCTCCTTTTCCCAGTACTCCAAAATACTAGCTTATTTTATTGCCTTTTTTTAAAATCCTTTCTCCCCCCCACCCCTGTTATCCGCTCATTTTTACAGAGCCTGATTTGAAAAAGCGGATCCGTGTGCACTTACTCAACGCCCACGGCCTGGACGAAGCCGGCATTGACGGTGGCGGTATTTTCAGAGAGTTTCTGAATGAACTGCTCAAGTCAGGCTTTAACCCCAACCAGGGCTTCTTCAAGACCACTAACGAAGGGCTCCTGTACCCCAGCCCGGCCGCTCGGATGCTCGTGGGAGACTCCTTTGCGAGACACTACTACTTCCTGGGCCGGATGCTAGGAAAGGTAAGGGAGCTTTGTGTGCAAACGGACCTCGGACCACCTGATGCGGAAGCTTTTCCTTTCTGTGTGGTTGCTGTCTGCTTCGTTGAAGGTTTTTGCTCAGGATTGCTGACGTTATTCTGGTGAACCCTGAGCAGTGTTCTTTTACATGATAATTCACGTTTCTTTGTTTCACATCGCATGCACAGGAGTCACACGCATACATTGCTTATATGGCATAGAAGCCCTGGGGAACGTATAACGTAAAATCCTGTCTGTCAAAAAGTCTCTGGATAGCTGTCTCTTGCCATCAGTGTGCCCCCTGGAAGTACTGTGAGTCTCCCCATCGCTCTTGTGGATAGCATTCAAGGGGTTCTCTTAAGGCTCTGTGAGCTTGCAGAGTGCTGCACACGAGGTAGAAGCGCACTGGTGCCGCGCGTGGGCCGAGCGCTGTGTGTGCTGTTTGCAGACTCTGGGAAAATAGCCATTAAGGATGACATGACAGAAGTGCCCTGATAACCAGAATGCTACACCCCTGCTGACCCCCACACACGGTTCACCTCTCCTGTAAATGAGGGGAAACGGTTTGTGAGCGGTGTAGCCTCGTGGAAGCGAGCTGTTTCTGGGTGAGACAGTGATGAACCAGGGCAGCCCCAGCCTGTTGTAGGCCTTCGGGGGGACATACCACCACCACAGACCGGGCCGCTTTGGGGACACAGACATCTGCTTCTCCCATTTTGGAGGCTGGCAGGCCACGGTCAGGATGCCCTGCGTCCCGTTTGCTGGGGCCCTTGTCCTGGTTCATCTCCAGGACAGCCTTCTCTCGGGGGTCGCTTTGATGAGGACACCAGTCACGTTCCCGCGGGCTCCACCCTCCTGACCTAATCACCTCCAAAGGTCCCACCTCCTAACGCCGCCCTGGGGTTAAGACGGTAGCGTGTGAACGTTGTGGGACACAAACACCCCCTCCGTAGCATTGCCTGCGGGTGTGCCTGGTGGGAACAGCAGGCCCTGACACTCCATTTAAATCAGGACCGGCTGACTGCTTCCCTGTGCGTCAAATGCAATCCAAAAAGGGAATTTAGTTTTTTTATTTTCTTTTTCATTGATTACTGACATTTTTAAATGGGGTAGTGTTTTGTTTTTTTTTGTTTGTTTGTTTGTTTTTTTAAAGATTTTATTTTATTTGTTTGACAGAGAGAGATCACAAGCAGGCAGAGGCAGGCAGAGAGAGAGGAGGAAGCAGGCTCCCCGCTGAGCAGAGAGCCCGATGCGGGGCTCGATCCCAGGACCCCGAGATCATGACCTGAGCCGAAGGCAGCGGCTTAACCCACTGAGCCACCCAGGCGCCCCATGGGGTAGTGTTTATATGCAAGGTTGTATTTCTAGGTTATTTTGTTTCATTTTGTTGCAGTCTTTGTACTTACAACAAATGCGGGGTGGACAGTTGCCAACCCCATCCGCATGTAGTGGACAAACATCCCGGTAAAATCAGTAATTGAGACTTAGGTCTGAACTGCTCTAAATGAGGTGGGAAATCATCTAGGCTATTTCCCTGGGAAACGGAAAGTCGGTTCTCGATTTTTCTTTGAACGAATGATTCATGGCACTCACCGTAACTGTGGTGATAGAGAAAATGTGATGTGTTTGGGCAGCGTGCAAGGACCCCAGGGCTCAGACTCTTGCTCACGAGCAGCCACTCTGGTGGCAGTGACACAGGTTTACCCCAAACCCACTGTCTGACCTAGAGGCCCACTGTAATATCCCGAGGGCCAAGGCGAAGGCTGGGGAGAGCGCAGTGCTCTGGGCCCAGGGGCCCGCTGCTGGCCCACCTCACTGGAAGGACGCAGCCCCTTTCTGTCCTCCCCACCAGCCATGCTGGCTCCTTACGGGGCTTCAGCCAGCCGCCTGCTGGAGTTCAGAAGACATCCTCCTTGTTTGTTTGCATTACGGGGGTCTGTCTCACAGCATAGAATAAAGATGGAACCTATCTGGTCTGTAAAGGGTCACAACATATAATAAGATCATTATTACGTAAAATGTACGTTACCCAAGAATCACTGGTGTGTTGTTATAGATAGGTAAATGTTTTCCATGGTCTTTGGGGGAAGTTCGTTAGCATCTTTGGATAGTCTTGGAATGCATTTGGTTCCCCTCTTGAAGAGTGGGATACTGCCAGGTACTCAGTATTTACTGTCCGCAGTGTCCGCGTTTGGAGGGACAGATTGGAATATGACACTAGAATCGGCATCAGTGGGGCTTCCACAGGTGAAAGGTGTGACTGCAGGTGACGTGCTGGGACGGAGGGCAGCCAGCTACAGCCTCTGGCCAACTCCACCCACCTCGTGTTTGTAGTTAAAAAAAGATGATTAGAATCCCAGTAGGCATCACGTACAGCGTCCGCTTGCTCTCCCAGCGATGGCAGCTGAACAAAGCCCAGAGAAAGCATGTGCTTTTGGGCCGTTTCCAGGACAGTTTGCTGACCCTGCTGTAGGGCCACACCAACAGACAAATGACAAAGAGCATGGTGAAAAGTTTGGTCTCCATTGGGGGTCATGGAAAATCATTGTTTTGAGCAAACGGCTGATACTTACTCCATTTGTGAGGGGACAGCATGGGGCACATGGGTTTTAGAGGGTGAGACTCAGAGTTACGGGTCTGGGACTGTGCCTGGGTCCTCCGTAGTGCTGGCCTTGCTCACAGCAACGTGATGCTTCGAGGTCAGGGAGGGCTGAAAAGTGACCACGGGATCGGTCCGCAGGGCTTTATGTCCCTGGTGCTTTTTCTTGGAACCGCTGTACTGAGATACGACGCACACTCCTGCAGTCAGCCCGCTGGGAGCGCGGGGTTCAGGGGCGCCTGGCTGGCTCGGCCCGTGGAGCGTGTAGCCCTTGATCTGGGGGCTGTGAGTTCGAGCCCACCGTGGGCGTAGCAATCACTTGAGTGGATGGCGAATGAATGAATGAATGAATGATTTTCAGGTGTGCGATTCAGGAGTCTCCGTGTGTTCAGAGTGGTGCAGCCATCACCGCCGTCAGACTCGGAGCATTCCTCTCCTGTGTCTGCCGACAGTCGTCCTTTCCCCTCCCCAGACCGTAGGCCAACGGTAACTACCCTTAGTCTCCACTGTGTCCCCTTCTGGACGTTACGTGAAATGGCACCGCACATACGTGGCCCATAGGGACTGGCTTCCTTTGCCTGGTGTCATGTTTCTGAGGATCGTCAGAGGCATAGCCCGTGCGAACGCTTCGCTCCTGGTAGTGCCAAGTCTCGGTCCCTCCTGTGACAGCCGCGTTTGCTGTCCGCTCATCAGCTCATGGGCAGGGGTTGTCCTTGGCGATGTTCGTGGCCGCGTGGTTTGTTGAAATGAGCTTGCTGTGTGGTGAGGAAGAGGGAAGGTAGAAAAATAGTAAAAGGTGGGACGCCTGGATGGCTCAGTTGGTTAAGCAGCTGCCTTCGGCTCGGGTCATGATCCCGGCGTCCTGGGATCGAGTCCCGCATCGGGCTCCTTGCTCATCGGGGACCCTGCTTCTCCCTCTGCCTCTGCCTGCCGTTCTGTCTGCCTGTGCTCGCTCTCTCTCCCTCTCTCTCTCTGACAAATAAATAAATAAAATCTTTAAAAAAAAAAAATAGTAAAAGGTGTCGGTGGCCTTTTCAGAAGGCCTCACTTTGGAGGGAAGGAGAGAGAGCACCCTACAGTGAGAACACGGTCCAGGAACGTGTGGGTGGGTTGGTTTTCAAAGCTGGGGCGGCTCGGTACCCGTGAGCTGTCGGGAGGAGGAGCAGGTGAGAGGAGCGGCCTAGCAGCTGGCCGGACGCTGCGCAGGGCGCCTGCAGGAGAGCTGTCCATGGGGCGTGGTGGGGACCCGCCGGCGCTGGCTCGGGAAGCCCGTTCACCACGCAGTTCTCCTCGGTTTGGACCGGAGCGGCCGCCTGGGGCTTGAGCAGCTCTGGAGCCAGGAGGGAGGGGTTGGCTTCAGCGGTCCCGAGCATGGAAGGCGGGCCGGGGGTGGGTGGCGTGCGTGTGGACTGCGCGAGGAGGGAAGGTCAGAAGGTGAGCTCTTGCTGGCCTGGGAGCCCGGCTGAGGACACGGCCCCTGGCGCTTTGGAACCCAGTGGGACCGCGGGGAGTGGCCGTGTGGGGAGGAAGGTCAGAGAAGATGGTGTGTTGGAAGGGAAGAGAGTGTATCAAGGACAAGAGGTGAACAGTGACCGCCTGCTAGGAGGTCGGGAGGGCGGGGACCGGGAGGGACACAGTGGCACCCCCTGCAGTGACGTCCCGCCAAAGGGTAAATGGAGGACGTGCCATGCGCCGACTCAGTGCTAGGGATTGCGGTTAAGGAGTCTCTTGTCCTTCAGTAAATCAGAAATCAACATTGCTACGTCATTTCCTATGAGAATTAATCAGAACTGTCCTCATTTTCAGCTGTAGTAAGTTCCTCGCAGATGTGCAGCTGCGTTCCGTTCGCTGACCCTGGGAAACGGACCTGCCGCTGTGCACCCTGGAGTCGGCCCATGTGAGAAGTGACTTAAAAACCAGTGCCTGCAAAGCAGATTATGCTCTTGTGACTTTTCAAAAAAATAAATGAATGTACTGATAGATACATCACAGCTTTTTTGAAATAATTCACATTCCATAAAATTCAGCCCTTTTTTTAAATGTTCTGTTCGTCAGCAGATGGTACATCATTAGATGTCGATGTAGAACTTGAGCCTTGTAGAGTGTGCTGTTCCGTGGTTTCTGACAGGTCCAGGGGGCTGTGCTGCCGTCGCCGCTGTGTACGTGGAGAACAGTGGCCTTGTTGTGAACAGGCTCTCGTGCACAGGCAGCCCCGCTCCAGGCTGCCCCCACCAGCCCCGGGCTCCCACTCATGTGTTGTCTCTGCATCTGTCCGCTCTGGAAGTTTCATAGAAGCGGGCTCCTGCAACACACAGCCTCTGGTGACTGGTTTCTTTGACTTCACAGAACGTTTCCAAGGTTCCCGATGCCGTAGCCTGTGTCAGGACTTCTTCCTTAGAGGTGG